ACCGTTGCGATTTTATAAATCGCGTTGCGATTTTGTTGGTCATTTTGACAAATCAAAAAAAAGTTGGTTAAAATCGTATATTATAAGGCATTTTCGGTCACTGACGCTTTTTTCTCTTTTTAAAATCATCCTCGTCTGCCAATAACTTTATCAATCATTGTAGAAATATCCTTATTTTCCTAATTAATTATAATTAATAGCACTTTATAAAATATGATTTTATTGTCGTTTTTCCGTTAAAATTTAAATCTAGATGTATTTCATCTCTAAAATTACAAAGGTTTGATGTTGTTCATATAACGATTGATTTTCTTATAATAGATGTACTTGAATTAAGTTTTAACTATTACTACATACTATAATAAATTTTGTTTTTTTAGAAATACAATGTATATGTTTTATTCATGAAAAATAATGTAGGTTCGTTGAATTAAAAAAAATCTATTTAAATTAATAAAATTGTGTGGTCCCGACATTATTAATTTATAGAGTTTCTACAGGATATAATGTACTTGAAGAGTCCAAATAAAATTATTATTAATGAGAAATATCAATGTCTAATATGTTGGTTTTGTAGGGCATGTACATTTCCCAACTCTATTGAAGTCAAGTCCAGCTTCACATGCTAAGGGCAGCTTGTGCATGCTAATAGCTATTTGTTTATTTTTTATAATATATGATTATTATTTCTTATAATATATTCTCCAAAGTATGAATTTAAATTTAATAATTCCAAACACTTGTTGTCAACTTAATTTTAAAGTGTTAATTATTTTTAAAGTAGTTTCACTATATTTTAATAACTTTATTAATTTCCTTTAAGAAAAACTTTATTAATTTCTTTCCAACAATGATCATTAATTATTATTAAAAATATAGTGTTACATATTAAATTAATAAACAATATTTCATGTAACATCCCAAACTACGGGTTAGTGACTAAATTGTAAAAATTTAGAATTTGGGGATAAAAGTAGAATAGTTGAATAGTTCAATGATTTATGTGGAGATATTTCCTGAAAGTTTTTAGTAATTATTAAAAGAATTAAAGGGTAAAATGGTCATTAGACATGAAAGATTTTTATTTCCCTTATAAGATAAGGGAAACCCACGTGGAATTCATTGTGATTCCACACATTTCTCTCATCTTCTTCTCTTCTCCACCGTGGAGCATACAAGCAAAGGTGAGTTTCTTAATTAGTTGATTATTTGTTGAATTAAAGGTTGTGTTTTGATCATTAGATGATAACTAACTTAAGGAAAGCTTAAGTTATCGTCAAATCAAAAGATAAAAGAGTTATACGGATTAAAGAAAATGAGTTTTTAAGTGAAATTTTGAGTAAGAAGGTTTAAATGAATTTGGATGATGAATTTGACTTGTCATCTATGAGTATAAGAAGTTAGAAGTGTTAGAATTAAGTTTGGATAACATGGAAAATTTGATATGATACTATGTATGCTCTGTTGTGAAATGATATATGTGTTCCAAGGTATGTATAAAAATGTTCAATATATATTTATATGATAAAAAGGAATATAGTGATAGTAATATAAGTACTGATAAGCATATTAATGAGCTTAGAAAAGTGTTTGCATTATCATATGTTATTATGTTGTTATCATGTATATGGAAATCATATGTGAAATGATTGAATTCATAGATTGCATATTTATATTTATAAGAAATGCATCATTATTATGTATATGCCTTACTAAGTCTATGACTTAGCGTGTGATTGTTTCACACGTAGGTTTCGAGAAGAGAAAGATTGATAAAAGCTATGCAAGACAGGCCAGTTTCTCCTTTCCAAAGATCATATCAGAAAAGAATTAAATAGTATGTATTTTGTAATAATGATAGTGATTGGCATGTAATAAATATATGAATTCGATATGTTTTTATTGGTTTGTAAAATCATATGATTGAGTTTTCTTTAATGTTTTAAATGTGTATTTGTAAATGGAAATTTTATACGAGTGAAAGCTTAGTATTTTATGAGTTTTATACAAGTTTGCCGAAGTTACTGTAGCAGTATTGTAGCAGCGAATCGATACCCTGTATCAGGGTATCGATTCCCCTGAAGCAATCTGGAAAAAATTTAACATTTGGTACTGTTCACAGTACTGTTCATACGATACTGTTCATACCGTATTTTACTGTTCATGAAAACGTATTTTTTTCAAATTGGTTTTAACAAATATAATTCAACAATATATGATCGTATTTTATTAATATAAGTTCAAATGTTCTATTATTTTATACGAATATTATTTTAAAAAGTCAATGTGACATCTCAGACTCGTATTTGGGTCGGGTACGGGTTGGGTGTTACATTTCATTTGATATTTCAATTATAAATAAAATTGGTACTTTCTTTCCAACGCGAGTTGTCTTAAAATTGAGGATTTCAGGACCATTTATATCAATTAAAAATTATAATTTATTTAAGCAAAAAACTTTCGCAAGAGATGAATTATTGGTTAGTGCATGATTAATATAGTTGAAAGATTGAGAGTACTGATCATGATTTATAAGAAAATATCAAAATAATAATCTTAAAAATAAATTATAACTATATATGTAAATTATATATTTTTTATTTTTTAAGAATCATTGTTTAAAAATATTAAAATAAAATCTTAATTATAATTAAAAATATAAATAAAATATTATCGATTTATTTAATATGTTATTCATCTCCTTAACACTAAATAATGACAATTAACAATTAAGTGACATGAACCAACTTACCTCAGTGGTTAAAGGAATCATTATTATTCTTATAGGTCACGGGTTCGAGCACTAATGGTAGCAATGTAATTGAGTTGTCATTGTCAAATGGTTGAGAGTATTTAAGAACAAATACTACTTTGTAATCACCTTAGCTTAATAAAAAAAATAAGTGACTATTTTATAATCATATAAAAAATTTAATAATTATTTCATATTTTTTAAAAGTTTAATAATTAAGAGGAATATTTATTTAGTTTAACCATTATTTATATATTTTATGATAAAATGATTACATTTAATTCAATCTCTCATCATAAATAGGATGATTCTTCCATGCTCGACAAGCAATAATGAGCACCACTAACGATGAACACCGATAAATTAATTTATAAAATATTAAAATTATAAAATAATCAACGTATAATTATAAATTAGTTAAAAATATAAAGGTAAATTATTTAAGGGTAAACTATACCATTGACCACTTAACTATTTAGCCCTTTTTACTTTTACCATTGATCTATTAATTTTGTCAATCAGATCACTTAACTATTTAATTATATTCAATTAAGCCACGTGACATTAATATTTAACAAAAGTGTTGATGTGACAGTTAATAAAATTGGTAATCATTGACATAATATAACATTGAAGCAAATCTTAAATTTGGATATCAATTGCATATATTTTATAAGTTAAATTTAGTGTTTATTTTTTTCACATTTATAATTTAATGATTATATATAATCTTAAATCGAATATTTTTAATTTAATTAATAATTATAAAAATAAAATTATTAATAAAATTAAAAATATTTAGTTCAAAATTATTTATATAATCATTGAATTATAAATGTGAGAAGAATATTAAATTTAGATTAAAAATACACAAATCTTAAATTCATTTTTTTAATATTGTATCAACTAATATTTAAAAAATATATAAAATCTATCTAACAATTAATAAAATTTGTGATCTATTTTAATGGTTTAATACTCTTAAGATTTTTAGCTCATGTTTGGATCACTTCATTTCCATTTTCCTTTCTTTTTTTCAAGCATTAAACAAATGATATGATTGGTTTAGTGGGAAAGGCTTGCATGCTATATCAATTACACCCATGTTCAACTCTCATGAACTCTTTTTATACACTACTTTACTATGTTAATTGTTTTTCCTCCAATCAGATGGTGATACGAGTGGGTCAAAAAATATTTAAATTAAATAAATTTAAGTTATAAAACAAATCCTTTAATAAAATAGTGACACATGTAAAAAATGATTAGATGGTTAAATTTATTAAATTAAATTAAAATTATGATCAAATTGATAGAATATATAACTATTGAGCACTAAATGTGTAATTATGTCAGTTTTATTAATTGGCACGTCAACACTTTCAATAACGACATGTGACTTTATTGACAACAATTAAATAGTTAAGTGACCTGATTGACAAATTTGAAAGATCGATGGTAAAAATAAAATGGCTAAATAGCTGAGTTGTCAATGTTATAGTTTACCCTAAATAATTTACTTTAATTTTTTAACTAATTTATAATTATATGTTGAGCCCTTTAAAATTTTAATTTTTTTTATAAATTAAATTAAAATTACTCATCGTTAATGGTGCTTATCAGTATTTGTCGAGTGTTGTAGAATTTTCCAATATATATATATGAAAAGTTCTAGAATGCATGTCATTCATTGCAATTTACTACTAATTTTATAGGGTAAAATTTACAAATGGTCAATAAACTATGCCAAAATTCCACTTTTGAACATTTAACTTTTAAAAGTTACACAATGAATATTAAATTTTAAATTTGTTACAAAATGGGCACAAAACCATTAAGAAAAATCTCATTTGACTAGGTTTGTAAACGAACCGAACGCACACAAACGGAAGTATGTTCATGTTCATTCATTTAATAAATAAACGAACACGAACATAAACGTTCAATTTTTTTTGGTTCATGTTCGTTCATTAAGGAATATAGCTTGTTCATGGTCGTTCATTAAGAAATATAGCTTGTTCATGTTCGTTCATTTAAATGATAAACGAACATAAACGAACGTAAACGAACACAAACGAACGAACATAAACAAACATAATAAATGAACATAAACGAACACAATAAACAAACACAAACAAATAACACTAACACAAACACAAAAAACAAACATATTCCAACACAACAGATAAATGTAAAAAAAAAGTAAACAACAAGAATAACAACTTAAAATTCATTAATATAACTTGTAACTTTAGAGTTAATTTGTTCGAATACGAAAAAAACATACATAAATCATAAATAAGCTATATGGACATAATAAAGTCTTAAAGTTAATTTGTTCAACAAAACAATCTTCTTGAAATCCAAACTTCAATAATCTTTGTAACATATTCAACTCGCCCTCTATTCGAACATAAATGAACGAACATAAACGAACATATAATCGAATGTTCACGAACGTAAATGAACGAACGAACCCTTTGTTCGTGTTCATTCATTTAATTAAACAAACGCAAAATCTTGTTCATGTTCGTTCATTTAATAAATAATCACACATAAACGAATTTCCCGCCGCACGGTTCATGAACGATTCACTGAATGTCCAGTTCATTTACAGGCCTACATTTGACCCTTCAATTGTAACAAAAATTTAATTTTATTCTTAATTTTTATTGAAATAATTCTTATTAGGTTCGTTGTATTGAAAATAAAATAGATATATTTAAAATAAATATCATCTTTTAATTTTATATTATAAATATTAAATTTGTACCATATAAATTAAAAATTATTTGATATGATATTATAAAATTATGGACGTATGATTTTTAAATTACACTTAAATTTCACATCATTAAAAAATATTATACGATAATATAAATTTTAGGACGTCAAAAATTATAAATTTTTATTTTAAAAATATAAAATAATTAAATAAATAATTACTTATAAAATAATTTTTTGAACAAAAAATTAATTTCATTGTTTGATAACTGTTTTTTTAAATATTTTTTATTTTAAAAAAATATTTTCATATATTATAAAAAATTCTAAAATTTATATTTTTAAAGAATTACTACTTAATAAAAATATTAAAATGAAATTTTAGTTATAATTGAGGGATGTCGACACCGTTTTTCGCCCAAGCGGGGAAAGATGGATACCGACTCAAGGATTTTTCTTTTGAAAAGAATTTCAAAATGTGATGAGTCCCCACTAATCATTTAAGGTGCGATTGGGACACCATAAAAATGGATGATTTTAATAAAACATTTTATTTTTATCAAAATACCAAGTTTTAAGGTCTGTGAAAATCCAGAAATCGGGTTCGAGAGTCAGTTACGAGTAGGGAAGGATTAGCACCCCCACAAGCGCCCAAATTGGTACCTAGTTGATTACCCTATATTTAAAATTAAAAATTTTAAGTTCGATCTTTATTTAATTTGAAAATCACTACATATGTAAAGTTGAAAAGGGTATTCGTTTTATTAAAGACAATAGCATTCACCCCTAGCATAAACGCGGGAGATCAACTATTATGCCTAATAACCAGACATTGTATTAATTTTAGAAATCATGATGCGGTCTTGAAAAGGATGTCGACCTATTTAGGGAATCATTTGTAGTCACCCCATGAGCATACTTGCGGGAGATACACCATTAATTCCATAATAAGTGAACATTGCCTTGGGTTTTAAAAATGCAATCTAACAAATTTTATCCGTCCTAATTAACTAAGGGTAATTTAAGGCTCTCTGTATCCTAAAGTGTCAAATTATGAAAGTTAGGCACAAACCTAGAAGTGTAGGTTCTAATATTAACCCTATTTGATTTTTAAACCAATTATTGAATCGAATAACCGAGATGGTCCCTCGAGCATTTAGGCGAGGACCAACTCGTATTATTCCCTAAATTAAAAGACTAATTTGAAATCTAATCTAAAAATAGAGGCTATAATATTAACCTAAATTAATTTTAAGATTCGAATAATTAAATTAGAACCTCCAGCAAAAGCGAGACCAAATTAAGAATTCTCCTAATTTAAGGACTAAATCTAAAATAAAAGTAATCTAGATGGGGACTAAAACATTAAAATCAAAATCAAAACATGTTTAATTTAAAAGACAAATGATCTAACAAGGACTAAGTTAAAAGGAATTTAAAATTGAAGGCTAAAATAAAAACAATTAATGAATATAAAGGACTAAAATGTAACAAAATAAAAAATAGTAGCTAAATAAAAATAAATCGTGACTAAATTGCATAAAATAACAGTGGCTAAAATGCAAGAAAATAAAGTTAGTAGTTAAATAAGAAATAAATAGTGACCAAAATGCAAAAATTAAAAAACTATAGCATCAGATTCATAAATAAAATAAAAAGAGAACTAATTAATGACTAAAATGAAACAAAACAAAAATCATTGACTAATTTTAAATAAATAACAACACAAATAGGTGACTAAATTAATATAAAATAAAAAAGAATGATAAAATTGGAATAAATTAGAAACGAAAGGTCGAGTGACCAAAATGGAAAAACACGTCAAACATAGGTGGACCTGAACTGCAATTTTACCAAAAATACAAAGCGTACATGTAAATGGGAAAATTATGAAAACGGTTCCTGACAGTGACTATTTTGCAAAAACACAATAAAATTTGGGGGACTAGAAAGCAATTTCCTTAGAAAATTTTCTATAATTTCAAACCTTTTTTTTCCTTTTTTTTGTTCGTTTTAAAAAAAAATTAGAGAGAGAGACTCTCCCCTCTCTCTAGTAATCGTCTGTCGTCGGGCCCTTGCCGGTCGCCGCGATCGTCGGTGGCCACCAAATTTCACGGGCATGCTCCTCTCGACATGATGGTCATGGATTCGGGCTCAGTTTTGTAAAAAATGGCCCCAACGCCACGAAACAAGCCGAGAACCCCCTCGACTTCCACCGCCCGAATCTCCGCTGTCTGCTGTTGGATCGGGCCCAAATCAAAATATGTTGGTCCCCTCTTTCGTGCGGTCCTTCTCACCTTTCGGATCCACAAACCGACCCTCCGAACGCCGTCGATGTGCCTGACTGAAGGTAACTCTCTTTCTCTTCTCTTGATTTTTTTTACCTTTGTTTTGCTTAACTTACGAATCAAGAGCCAAAAAAAAGGGGGAAAGAATGCTATAATTAGTTTCTAAAAAAACAGTTGCTGATTTTTTTATTGCTTTTTGAATTTTTCGAGGTCTCTCCTCGTACATGGTTTGCTTTGGGGTTTTATACCCATTACAGAGAAGAGAAAAGAAATGATAATTCTTTGTTTTGTTTTGCTTGTTGTTTGTTGTTGATGGAGTGGAGCAGCTGGTGGCATGAGTATTGGACCTGAGCAATGGCGTGCATACAAGACTTTGTTGGGATTGGGGCAGAGGATTGGCAGGAGCTGATTGGTGAAGTGGGCGGCTAAGGCTAGGTTAGGCTTAGGATCCGGGTTGGGTTTGATTCGGGTTTGGGTCGGGTCTTAGATTTAGGCTTGGTCGGGTTTAGTTTGGTTTGGGCTTGAGGCCCGTTGATTTTTTGTTTGGGTCACGGGAAAAATGGTGATTACAAGGGATTAAATAAAATATTTCTTTATTAATTTAGTACGTTTTTAACTTCTTAATAACATTTAACTATTGTTATTTATTTTTTTAACAGAGTTCAAAGTTTAATGATTATTTTATAATTTTTAAAAATTCAATGATAAATAAAATAAATATAAAAAATTTTGTAACTGTTTATAAATTTTACCCTATTTTATATTAGTAGTGCATTTCAATGCATGTTACTAGTAATACATTAGCATCTCCAATGCTTCTCTACTTTGGAGATTTTCTCTAAAGTAGAGTCTCTAACCCTGCGCCAGAAAAAACGCTACTGTGGAGAAATGCTATAGTGTCGCGCCACATCTAGCGTGGAACTGTAACTTAAGCTACATCTTGCCTTTTTTTAATAAAATATATTAAATTATAAGATAAGTAAAAATACATTTAAATTAGATAAATAATCATACTAATTTTTTTTTATAATTTTTCGGATTTTTTGTATTTTTTCTGATTTTTTATATTTTTAAAATTAATATTATAATAGTTAAATATTGTGAATAAAATAGAATTAGTGGTAATGTAGAGATAGTGATGAAGATGAATTACTCTAGAATAGAGATGAGGATTAGAGATATATATATATATATATATATATATATATATATATATATATATATATATATATATATATGATGCATATATGATGCGTGATATGACAATTGCAGTCATTCGTGATCTTAATTTTTAAGTACAAATACATATCATTCGTGGTTTCTCGAGACTATATTTTGGTCCCCATATTTTCAAAAGTCACTTATTAGTCCTCATACTTTCTACCTGAAACGAAATAATCTTCTGTACTGTTATATACTTTTCGCCGACGCGTGTATACGAAGTATTTACGCGTGCACACACACATATGTATATATATTATAAATAAATAATCTAATTATTAAATATTAGCTTGTAATTTGTTGAAGAAAAAATAATTTTCAGTAATATGTTGCATTTTTATACCATAGCTATATTTAAGATATCACATATTTATATAATATATGAAATTTTTGTAGACCAAATTAATTACTAATAAGACTTGAACTTTGATAATTGTTAGATTATTTAACCATTTTAATCATTAACGTTAGTTAGGGGTAGGTAGGTACGATTCGAGTCAAGTTAGATTTTTGGATTATCCCAACCCCAATATAATTTGTACATCGTATCTTTTATTTGTCATTCGATTTGAATTTAAGAAGATTTTATTTGATCTAAAATTTGATATAATTCTTAGCGGAAAAATTCACAGTCAACTCAAATGGATACGTATATAAGAAATAATTGTATCATTAAATGTATAAGAGATGATTATACTATCATCCAAGTCGGATTAATAATTTTTACTATAAATCCTAGATCCAATCGAACTTGAACTAAAAAAATTAAATCGGATCAAAATTCGTTAGATTCGAATCTATTAGAAGAATGGGGGATGACCTGGTTGATTTCGTGCCTCCTCGAGTGCTCACCAACCCCCGTCTCCCTTCGATAGAAAAATTTTGTATTTTTCAATTCTGTGGGGGATTTATGCAAGTGGTATCCAATGAGAAAAGCCCACGTGTTGACATCTCAACGACAAAAATATAACTAAGATCCACGGCCACGTAATGTTCTCAACTAACCCACCCAACTCTCAATGTCATTTTATTTTGGATTAATATAAAAATAAACACCTAAATTATAACTAAAATTTACTTTTGATATTTAATTTTTTTTTTAAATAGGTGTCTAATATTTTTATCGATACACTTTTATCTATCAATCGTTAAAAAAATATAAAGCGACACATGTCACGTTTATATATATTTTTAAAATATTTTATTTAAAAAAATATATATAAAATATAAACATGAAACGTGTCATTTAACAATTTTTTTAACAGTAGACAACTAAAAGTATAATAGTGAAAACATTAGGTATATATTTTTATAAAAAAAAATCTTTAAATATCAAAAAATCAATTTTAAATTTAATTTAGACACTTATTTTTATATTAAGCCTATTTTAAATTTTGCCTCTATTTAAAGCTACTGATTATCGTTCAACAAACTCAGGAAAATTTTTACTTTCCCTGAAAATTTCCTTTTCCATTTTCTTCCAGAAAGAAAAAAAAACTGTGTTTTTTCAATCATTAGATCTTCAATGGAGCCGATGGAGATGTTTTCAGCTAACTGCAATGGCGGGAACGGTTTCTGCACAGCTGCTGAGTCCGATCCCTTGAACTGGGCCGCGTCGGCTCAGTCGATGAGAGGCAGCCATCTCGATGAAGTGAAGCGGATGGTGGAGGAGTACAAGAAGCCGGTGGTCCGTCTCGGTGGCGAGACGCTAACGATAGCTCAGGTAACGGCCATTGCCAACCGAAACGCCGCCGTCCAGGTGGAGCTTTCCGAGGCGGCGCGGCCCGCCGTAAAGGCGAGTAGTGATTGGGTGATGGAAGGAATGAATAAAGGCATGGACAGTTATGGAGTCACCACCGGCTTTGGCGCAACCTCTCATCGGAGAACCAAACAAGGCGCTGCTCTCCAAAAGGAGCTTATAAGGTAAATTTGAATTTCATTTATTATTTATTTTTAACGTCATATTTATATTTATATCTAAAAGTATTTTATTTTTAAAGTATTTATATTTATATTTCAAAGTCGTTTCACTGTATAAGGATATTAATTAAATTTCGTATAGATATGTTAATCCGTTAACTTAGGTAACTAAACCCTAACTGATGCATTAAATTGGCTACAATTAGTAGAACAACACTCTTGCCGCCATGTTCGGTGGTTGAATTTACTCATTAATTATGTGAAAGATCCATTCACTTGTCCCTTTGTGTTTTTCCGCCTGTCTTAACCTTCTTTATTTATTTATTTTTAAAATATCAACATTTATTTTCATTATTCTATGTTATTAATATTTAAGGGTAAATTTTGTGTTTAGTATCTAAATCATCAGTTTTAATCTATTTTAATACCTAAACTTTCAATATTTTCAAAATTATATTTAAAGTTTAGTTTTTGTTTTATTTTAGTATTGAAAAAATTTGAAAGTTTAAGTACTAAAAATGGACAAAAATTGATGATTTAGGTACAAACGGTGAGGTACTAAAATAAAATGAAAACTAAACGTTAGGTATGATTTTGAAAAAATTAAAAGTTTAAGTACTAAATGCGTAGTTTACCCACTTTTTTATTTTTTAATTAATATGTGATAAGTACAAAATATTATCAATTCAAAGATATTTTTCAATCCTTTAACATTGAATGCTCACACTTCTGTCATCTATGGTGTTTGAAATCGGATCCTCAATGAATAACAACAATTATTTACCACGGAGGCCACTTGATTCGTGCTTGCTTTTTTTGATTTTTGAATAATTTAGATTGAATTTCAATTAAATATGACTCTTTAAAGTTTAGATAATTTTAAATTAAATTTGAGCCTCAAGAAAAAAGTGGGTTATTTAAATTTTATTTTTAAATTATCTAAATTTCAATTAAATTTGGGTCTTTAGAGTTTAGATAAATTTAGTCCAGTAAACACTAAGAATCTAATCCAATAAAAATTAAAATGTTTAATTGTTTATTTTGTGTGAACAATTATATATATATATATATTGGGGTAAGATCCAATTAAATTTTAATTGGATTTTCGAATATTCAAGAAGATGTATAAATTCACAAAATATAAAATTTAAATATGAATTTTTTGTCAAATTAAGTTTTATGTTCAAATATGGATATTCGAATATCCGATCTGAAAATTTATATATCTAATTTTTTAATCGAATATGGATCATAATGTTAGTGATCTGAATTTTTGGATTGTGTAATCCCCAATTTTCAAATCATACGTCAAATGCAGTTTATCCACTTCACCTGCTCCCATCATCCCTTGATTCCTGCAGAGACATGCAAAAAATCACCGAAACATTTGTAATATTTTATGATTATATTATGTAAACATTTGGCTATAAAAGTCAAGAAAAATAATTTGAAGGGATCGGGGTTTTTTTTCCAGTAGAAATACAAAGCAGTTTTGCAAGGTAGTTATTTTTTAGTTTTTTATACTTTATTTCGAAACAACAACGTTCAATTTATTTATTTTATTTTATTTCGAAATAACAATAATATTTGATTTTTTTGTTTAATTTCGGAATAATAAAAAACATAAATAATGTGTATTTTATAGTAAGAAATAAAAGAAATAGGAATCGAGGCTTACTTGAGCCAAAGGGGCCTCGTTGGAGGTCGCCGGAATCTGGGAAAACCGAGCGATTTCGGGGTATTTTCGGGTACTTTAAGGCTTTATTTGGTGGTTTTAGTCCCAATGAGGGTGCCTAATGGGTAGATCTATTGTTTTGGGGCGATTTGAGTCGATATTAGAATTTTCGGCCACCGTGTACGGAGGCCAGAGTGGCTGCCGGTCGGTGGTCGGGGTTGAGCAAGTTGGCTGGTGGTGGAATGGTTGAGAGAGTTCTCAAGAGCTCTTTCCTTTTTTTTTTGTGTTTTGGGTAAAAATGAAACAAAAAAGAGTAAAGGTTGATATATATATGCTAGATTAATGGTAAAATTACATCTTAAATGCCTCTAATTTTTTCTTTTTTTACATTTTAGTCACTGTAATGACCGAAATTGATGTTTAACCATTTCTCTATGCATGCTTTATTTTTCTGGTAAATTTACTGTTTTAGTACCTTTAATTTTAGAGTGTTTTTATATTTTGGTCACTGCATCTTTTATTTCTATATATATTTTATTTTGGCATGTATTTTTATTTTATTTTGATTTAGTACTTATTAGTCTTAATGTAGTTACTGAATTTTATTTTCTTGCATTTTGGTCCCTGTTTACTTTTTATTGAGTTACTTTCTTTTATTTTCTCGCAATTTAGTCATTATATTTAAATTTTATTATATTTAGATCTTTGTATTTTAATTTTCTTTATTATTTGTAATTTTTACTATTTTGTTTAATTTTAGTATTTGTTTAATTTATTTTGTAATTTTATTTTTAATTAGGATTAATATTCGAATCAAAATCAGAAATTAGGATGACACTGTAGTTTAATTAGGGGGCAATTCGAGTCGAGTTTTCGCATTATACCCCCGAATACTCGAATCAATTGTTCGATTAAAATTAATTAATAATTAATATTTTCTAAAAATTTTAGTTTAATAAGTAGGTTAATCCCTTCACTTTAAAAACGTTCAATTTAGGTCTTTAGATTTTTAAATCTTTCAGAGCCCGTTGTTTTAGTTCTCTGATTTTTTTTTAGTTCTCGAACTTCAATTAGACTTTAAATATTGACATAATTAAATATGATTAATATTAGAGCCTACATTTTAGATATAAGCCCTTAGATTCTTTAATTTCCATAATTTGACACCGTAGGTTAGAAAAAAGCCTTAATTTATTTTTAGTATAATTAGGATTAAATAAAATTTTGCTTGATCGCATTATTTTTATAAATCTAAGGCACTGTTCACTTATTAAGGAATTAATAGTATATCTCCCGCGATCACGCTCAGGGGGTGACTACTGGTAATTCCCTAAATAAGTCGACATCCTTTTCAAAACCACATCATGATTTAAAAAAAAACGAGGCAATGTTCGGTTATTAGACACAATAACTGATCTCCCGCATTTACGCTCGGGGGCGAATGTTATTGGTCTCAATAAACGAATATCCTTTTCAAACTTTGCATCCTTAATGATTTTTAAATTAAATAAAGACCGAACTCAAAATTTCCGATTTTAAATATAGGGTAATCAACTAGGTACCAAATTTTGGGCGCTTGTGGGGTGTTAATCCTTCCCCACACGTAACTGACTCCCGAACCCGATTTTTGGATTTTTCGCAGACCTAAAGCTCGGTATTTTATTAAAATGAAAGGTTTTATTAAAATCATCCGGTTTTTACGGTGTTCCAATCTCACCTTAAATGATTGGTGGCGACTCCTCACATTTTGAAATGATTTTCAAAGAGAAAACCCCCGAGTCGGTATCGGTCTTTCCCCGCCCGGGCGAAAAACGGTGTCGACAGATTGGATATATTTTATTTATAATTTTCAAATTATTTCAATATATTTTAGTTATACTTCATGACGCGCATATTATTTCATGATGTACACAAAGGTGGCTAAACATGATTTTGGTGCGACTAGGTTCTTGAATGCCGGAGTTTTCGGTCAAGGGACCGAGTCATGCCACACTTTGCCCCATGGCGCGACCAGGGCCGCCATGCTTGTCCGGATCAACACACTGCTGCAAGGCTATTCCGGCATTCGATTCGAGATCCTTGAAGCCATCACTAAGCTCCTTAACGTCAACATAACACCGTGTGTGCCACTCAGGGGCTCAATTTCCGCGTCCGGTGACCTCGTCCCACTTTCTTACATCGCCGGCCTTTTAACCGGCAGGCCCAACGCTAGAGCATTGGGACCTAATGGTGAGACATTGAGCCCCACTGAGGCCTTTAACAAAGCTGGGATCGATGGTGGATTCTTCGAGTTGCAACCGAAAGAGGGTCTGGCTATGGTTAACGGAACCGCGGTCGGGTCCGGGTTAGCTTCCTTGGTCCTTTACGAGGCAAATGTGTTAGCTGTTCTGTCTGAAGTTTTGTCAGCCGTTTTTGCTGAAGTTATGCAAGGGAAACCTGAGTTTACAGATCACTTGACTCATAAATTGAAGCATCATCCTGGACAAATTGAAGCAGCTGCAATTATGGAACATATTTTGGATGGCAGCTCTTACATTAAAGCAGCACAAAAGTTGCATGAAATGGACCCTCTCCAGAAGCCGAAACAAGACCGATACGCTCTTCGAACGTCGCCTCAATGGCTTGGTCCTCAGATCGAAACAATAAGGTTTGCGACCAAAATGATTGAACGAGAGATCAATTCGGTCAACGACAATCCCTTGATTGACGTCTCGAGAGATAAGGCCTTACATGGAGGGAACTTCCAGGGTACCCCGATCGGTGTATCGATGGACAACACTCGTTTAGCCATTGCTGCGATCGGCAAACTCTTGTTTGCTCAATTCTCTGAGCTAGTTAATGATTACTACAACAACGGGTTGCCTTCGAACTTGTCAGGAGGCCGAAACCCGAGCCTGGACTATGGTTTCAAGGGAGCTGAAATCGCGATGGCTTCGTACTGTTCTGAGCTTCAGTTCCTCGGTAACCCCGTTACCAACCATGTGCAGAGCGCCGAGCAACATAACCAAGATGTGAACTCTTTAGGCTTAATCTCAGCAAGAAAGACAGCCGAAGCTATCGACATATTGAAGCTCATGTCGTCGACTTTCTTGGTCGCCCTCTGCCAAGCCATTGACCTGAGGCATTTGGAAGAGAATTTGAAGTACACCGTGAAGAACACAATTAGCCAAGTGGCTAAAAGAGTCCTAACAATGGGATCCAACGGCGAACTTCACCCATCAAGATTCTGCGAAAAGGACCTTCTACGAGTTGTCGATCGCGAACATCTCTACGCATACATCGACGATCCCTGCAGTCCAAATTACCCTTTAATTCAAAAGCTGAGACAAGTACTAGTAGACCATGCGCTGATGAATGGCGAGAAAGAACACGACTCGACCACTTCGATCTTCCAAAAGATCAGTGCATTCGAAGAAGAGCTGAAAACACATCTGCCTAAAGAAGTCGAGAACGCTAGGACCGAATTCGAGAACGGGAACCCGGCCATCCAGAACAAGATCGAGGAATGCAGGTCATACCCGTTGTACAAGTTTGTGAGGGGAGTTCTGGGGACTGATTTGTTGACCGGGGAGAAGGCGATTTCACCGGGAGAAGAATGTGACAAGGTTTTCTCAGCAATGTGCGAGGGGAAGTTGATTGAACCATTGCTGGATTGCTTGAAAGACTGGAACGGTGCTCCTTTGCCTATTCGCTAAATAAAAGGTTTTTATTTTTTCTTCAAAGCTTGCAAACTACAACAAACTTAAACTGTTTAATTTGTGCTGATATATAAGTGGTATAGTTTGTTTAATTGGTGTGTAATTCAAAATTAATATGAAAGATAATTCAATATTTATTTAACTTTATCTATTGAATTTTTAAATTTTATACAATAATAAAAAATAATTTTCATGTTAAAGTAAAATGAAAATTTAAGTGCTTATTTCCATATTATGTCCCCCATAAATTTAAGTGCCGGAACACCCCTAATCTCCATGTCAACCAGTGGTGATTGGATTACCTTCAAGCTCGATATATCGGGATCGTAACGGATCATATCGAGAGCACGCATCTGATCCTGGAATATTCAATCAACAGAGAAAAACTTTAATCTAGCACCATTCGTCCCCCGATATACTCGAGGTCTTATAATCTTTCTATGAAAGTAAACTGCTTATTACCTTGCGTTTCACTGCACAAAACTTGCAGTCCGAAGCAGATGGAGGAAGAATCTGATTAACGATTAGTCTCCGCACCGGAACGTTCTTCTTCAAGGAGGCACGCAACCTAGATGACTCGCCGATTTCCATTACCTAGGAAAAGAAAGCGTGATATGGAAGCAATCTATTGGAAGCAAAAGACAGTAACCGAAGAATCCATGTAGACAATGACACTGGAATATAATTATTAAGGGCGTTACCGTGGGGATTGAGACGATGACAAACTCGGTAGAATCCGTGTCACGGAAAAGGTCCTTCACTTGCACCATCCTCTCCCTCAGTTGCTCCAACTTGTCAGCCTACGCAAATAACACTAATAATAATAAGATGCTGACGATGATGTTGGTGCCAATTCTCATCTATATCATGCTTACAGCGTTTCGAGGGGTTTCTCCTTGTCCGAAAGCATATTTAATCGCCGAGGTGGCCGAAGTTATCTTCTGTCTAAGCTGTACAAGCAAGCATCGGTGAGAAATCATAGCAAGAGAAGATGATACTATCAAATGGATACAGCAACAGTTCCGGATTCTTAAACTTCCGATTTGACTAATGCAGCTATTCCCACACATGTTTACAACATTTTTCCTCCAGGTTTTCGGTATTCGATTCAAGCTCATTTCCAGTAACGAAATCAACAAATATGAATGGAAAATGTTGCATTTTTTTTATAATTCAAGTCGGCATTTCAACCTTCAATATCTTGCCTATAGATGCATCCAAGAAGTCCGGCAATGACAAAAGTCGTAATGTATGTCCCTGAAAAGAACTCTCATCAATTAGAGTTTGTTGGGATGACTTCAAATATCATGTGCCGCAGAATCGAAAGAAGATACCGTAACAGTCGGTGCAGTGTAGAAAACTATTCGAGTAAACATACTGTAATGTGGTGATTCAAGAAATTGCATCACCTAGAAAAGAGCTTCAACAGTCTGTATAGAGCTCAAAGGTATGTAAGCGGCGTTAAAAAAACAAAAATAAACAGAGCACATAACATACCTTTGAAATTGCTATCACTTCATCCAAACCGGAAGGCGGCGTGTCGAGTAGTTCTCCCGATTTCAGCTCTCCTAACTACATATGTCGAAAGAAGCACCAGAAGCAGAAATCATGGTTTTAGAGTCACGAAAATGCGCTCGAATACAATGGGAAATTCTTGTGGCAAGATTTTCGGATTTCTTCATGGTTTAGCATCTTAAATTTGCCATGTTACTGTAGTTTTGTAAGTAACTGTATGCATAAACTTATGCCGTTCCGCATAAAGAATGCAATCGAGAGAGGCATGAAGCACGCAAAGGATGCAGCTCCAACCTAATAAAAGTTTTGGGGTTCATATGGAAGAAACTTTGCTTGCAACAAAAATTAGCGGCCAAAATGCGACGATTAAGCGACCTTCCATGGCATTTACGTGGTGCAAATTCTAGCGAAGTACTGCATTAGTATCTTAAGTTACAATGAACAAACATAGAAATAAAGCTTCACCTGTTCTGCAAGCATTCCGAGTCCCATGCCATCCATAAAATCTTTGACCCCAGTTCCGCCATTGTTCTTAGCTGCATCCCGAAATTCTTCCCTAGTCTTTTCCGGGTTTATCTGTGTTAAAGATATGAGTTTAACTCACCAAGTATGCGGGAAAAATAATCGCGAAAACCATAACTAGCAGATAGTTATCTCTTATAGAATACATGATCTTAACAACGGTCTGCAGCAAATCAAAACGAATTGTTCAAGAAAAACTAACAAAACCTGATTAGGGGCTTATTCCATATACCTCAAGAGCAAACAAGGGGAAGTCGGGTCCTTCAACTGGTACTAGCATCCCTCCAGTCAAATCCTAGATAAAAAATGAACTCATAGACTGAGCCAAAGAAAAGATAAATGCAGGGAGAAAAGCATTGGCAAAAAGCATGAGGGAGTGGGTCGAAACCTGCGCAAAATAATCCGACAACGAATGAGCTGGATCGGTTGATACAACCAGAGAGGGGTGGCCATTGTTTGCGAATTTTACAACCAATGAAGCAGCACAGCTCGTCTTTCCTATGCCTCCCTTGCCGCCTAGCATGCAGTACTTGCATTCCGTCCCGGAAACCATTTCATAGAATCCCGCTACGTCTTCTGCAGCAGCAGCCACCGATCTCACTGCCAACCAAATACACAAATGAAACATCCAGCTAGAATATGCTTGCTCTTTTTTAAGGAAAATACAACAATGGCATGAACTACTCATTATCACAAAACACAAAGCAGCATGGCATAACAAAAACATCAATCATCACAATTACACAACCTACAGTTACTCCATTAATAATGAAAAATCTCAGTTCAGCTCCAATATACATCACTTTTCGGGATTTCGCCACAATTACATAACCTACTACATTAATAATGAAAAAATTCTCAGTTCAGCTCCAATATACATCACTTTTCGGCTTTTCGCCACAATTGCATATCCTACAATCACTCCATTAATAATGAAAAATCTAAGTTCAGCTCCAATATACATCACTTTTCGGGTTTTCGCCACAATTACATAACCTACTATTACTCCATTGAACAAAATTATCTACATTACAGACAGATATTTAAATAGCGGCCCCTTATCGGAATAGCTGCAATTATACAACAGTAAATCTGCCGTCCAAAACCGTTATTGCACAACCGCGACACCCGCAATGACAGCAATAACACCTGCTATTGCCGCAATCACGATAAAGACAACTGAAAAGCCTACGACAACCGCAATTTAAATCCCTGAATTTACAACATAAAACAAAGTGATACCCAAGAAAGATACAGTCAGGAAAAGGAGTAAAACGGAGTAAAGGAAGCACCTTGAAAAGAGTTGTTGGTCGTTTTGGTTTGCTGGAAAGTGAAGGAAAAGCCGAAGAAGAAGCAGAAAATCCAAGAGCTGCCATGGGATTCGTAGGAGACAAAATCTTGTTGAAAGACAAAGAATATGATGTGAAAGAAGCACTCCAAGCTGCTATTTTTGCCATTATTTCTCTCCCTCTCTGATTTTTCTTTTTCTAGCTGCTCTCAACAGTTGTTTTTGTTTCGTTAAAGGAAATATGAACACTTGGATAAAATATTGCTACCTGTCATCATGATGTGAAAGGAAAGATAAACGGCGCTATAAATCGGTAAAAGACATTATTTTCCCACTCAATATGGTTTAAACTTTGCTCACCAGTTGGGCAGGACCAGGTTGAAAGAAGATGGCAAATGCATAGCCTATACCGGTTACACAGTAAACTAGGCACAACAAGACGATACAATTTTCCGAAAACGAAGATCTTGGATTTGTGAAGAAAAAGAACATAGAGAGACACCACGGGCTTGATCACGGTATTAAAATGGTCGACTGTGTCTTTGGCCAAAAAGTAAGCCAAGCTGCTCATGCCAGATGCACTCTCTCCTGTACTGTAATTTATCGACCGAAAACGATCTCAAGGCGGCTGTTTTGCATAGAAGGGCTGAAACCATGAGGAACTTTATGGTAAGAAATCCGATATGCAATTTATGTTTCATTTGCGACTTTCATGGGAACGAATCGAAAGAGCATATAGTAGTTCAAAGAAATCCTTCTAGCACAAGTGACAATGGTCCGACTTGCAGACTGCAATTATGGTATAAGTATAACCGATGGCCCCGAAGTTTTCTTCGCCCGATTTAGTTATTGTTCCTAAGCAGGCTCCAGCAAGCAGTAAGATGAGATAATCGGTTGCTTGTACTTTGGCTTCCGTCATTCTCGGTTGATGAAGCACCATGCAGATGTTTACTCATTCTAGAGCTTCATGTCGAAGTGCTCGAAGAAGCTGCAGAGAGGATGCACTGTCCAAACCGGATGTCGGTTCATCCAAGATCAAAAGTGAAGGTTCCATGACCATTTCCAAACTGACGTTTACTCGCTTTCTCTGGCCTCCTGAGATGCCTCGCTTCTCTACGGTCCCCACCAAGGAATCACGCACCGTCTGAAGTCCCAAAGACTATAACTCATAACTCTATCAACGACAAGAACTTTATCCGGTTTCGTTAAATGCACAGGCAGTCTTCAACACGGTTCAGAAAGGAAACAAGATTTTATTTTTAATAAGCACATGTTTCAAATGTATGTCGGTATCGTAAAAACGGGTTTGAATCTAGCGTACCTGCACTTTGCATTGAACCATAGATTCTCTTCCACTGTCAAGTTCCCATGCACAATGTCATCTTGTGGCACATAACCGATTATTTTCCTATACGAGCGGATTGATTCGTTCTTTCCATTTATAAGAATCAAACCAGTCATCTTGCAACCAATAGCCTTTCCAGCCAGAGCAGAAATAATGTCGTTCTTCCAGCACCAGAAGGTCCCATGACAGCAGTGATGCAACCGGGCTTAATTTTTCCAATAACACACCTCAAAAGATGCTTATCTTTTCCTTTCAAAGTGAGCATAAGGTCTTTGAAAGAGACCTCAATCAGAGGCCTTTTCCTCATTTCAGGATCGGTAGCCATAGAAACCACTCCCGAGAACGTAAGATTCTTATCGTCTTGTTGCTGAGCTTTCTCTTTCTCGATTTGAGCAGATGCATACTTAAAAATCTGGCTGGCCGTTTTCCCTTCGTAGTTTGGCCTTTAGATTTTCTATCATGGCTACCGACATCAAATTCAACATAATTCTCAGGGGTGTATTCAATTTCATGCATCACCTGCATTGGATTGTTTGGCTCGACTGATTGTACCTTGGATGGTGGAGACGAAGATAGAGACTCGCTTGAAGTACTCATATGTACGGTAGTATGCAAGTGTTCATCCGTTTCAAACGTTGTTTGATCAAATATTTTAAATCGGGTTCCTTGAGGCTTTTCTAAAAGAAATTCTCTGTGAAATACGAGTTTGTAGTCCACTTGCAAGCTTTGTAGCAGCATTCTTATCAGCTTTCCGCCCCTCCCGTGCTTTCGCCCTCTCCCTTGCACTTCTTGCAGCTGCTTCTCGGGTGTTGGCTAGTTGTCTTTCCCTCATATTCAGAACTTGGTCGGAACAGTTGTAGATAATCAAGAGCAAAGTAACAATAGCAGCCTGCATAAGCAAAGGAGATCTTGAGTTATTTGGCTTATTCGGCTGCCCGAAAAAAGCGAACAACTTACTATAAGCATAACTCCATAGGCATGCAGATCTTGAATTAATGTGTGTGAGTCACAAGAAGTCAACTTGAAGCAGCCTGTAAGATCAATAAGGGTTAAACTAACAATCCAGACAACGTTAAGCCTCGAGATGTATTCCGAGAGCAGTCGGAACTCGGGCATAAAAAAAATAATGTTTTAAGTATGCGGCTTACGCTTCTCAGATGTTGAACCATTCCTGTAGTAATGTCTGAAAAGGCACACACACAAAATACAACAGCATCAAGAAAGATTAATGCTAAGGCATGACAAATGTTTAAAGAATGAAATCGCAAAACGTCGGAAGCAAAGCAATACCCACTACTGCAAGGTCTTTCCTGTACCGTCGATGGACAATACGACCCCACCGGACAGAACACCTCCCTACTGGTACGAATATCAGCCCATAAATTGGTTCCTCCACACGTATGGTTCGGCTTTCCCGGAGGCAGCTGGTAATTATATCTTAAACCGTATCAATAATTCCGTTTAATATGGAACTTTGTCGCAACCATAGGCCATTCAACTTGTAACAAAATGTGCATAAATATTACGAACTTACGGCTCACATAGGCTTGTATTGGTATTCAGTGTTGCTTGCGGACAATGGGAATCCAACGGACAAGCTTTCGGAAGACAGAATCCAATGAAGCATGCACAAAAAGTATAGAAAAAAGTGTTACGAGGCCGTAAACTAACAAAAATACACGATTTCTAGCGGTGTTAATGTCGAACACAGTTTGTTTTGCGGAATTCTCGGTAATTAATAGGGACTAGCTGTCCAAGATGAAAGTGTTTACAAGATTCTCAGAGACTTACGGATCATGCACGTAAGACTACGAGGGCAGAGAAACCCTGCACAACATGGTTGACAATCAGTAGTCCTAGAAGGAATGACCTTAGAATTCTCAATGTCGACCGTCTCATTCAGACCGACACTACAAGCCCATCGCGGATCACAACCGGAAACCCATGAGGTTAAATTACAATTCCTGTTAGGCCTCAAAACACTGGCATTTCTGAAAAAAACATATCGATGTAGATTTTCGCCTCCGCTGCCGTGCAAACACGCCTCATGATACTCCCTGTTCAACCAATAAACACCGCAACACTTTACTAAAACGCGAGAAAACATAAATCATACTGCAATTCAATCAGTCTAAGCTTCAAGTAAATCTCTACTTAAGGCAATATCTAGCAAATTAGTACCCGATTCGATCCTCTAAGAACCCGAGTCCGAAAGCGTACCTCTCGTTTGAAGAATGCATGAAGCCAAGAAGTCCAAATTTGATTCAAAATTAAAAGCTTTGTTCCACTCGGTTTTCCTGAAACATAAACTCAGCTTCAAAGTTCAAACTTAAAAACAAGATCAAATTCCATTGCATGCACAAAATATTCATTTTTTGTTCTCATCAGATTCAAATTCAAGAACCCTAAAGCAACATCAAACATAGAACCAATTAAAGCCCCAATGTTTCCCCTTTAATTTCCTCATCAAATTCAATTCAACAACCAGAGAACCAACAAGCATGGATTTAAATAGTTCGGTCCGCTGTCGGAATAACGACCGTTATACGACTGCAACGGTATAATTCGAAACCATTATTGCATGGCACCCTATTAAACGCAACGCAACTGAAAATGCGATCGCAACCACAATTCAACTCCCTGCCAAGAAGTATAACAATGGGGGGGGGGGAACTCATTGGTCCTTTATGCAGAAACCTGCTCTTTTACTGATATACTTCCTGAGAAGATTGGTGAGATTGGAAAGCCTGTTATTAACAAGGTATGTAACAATGGGAAGAACATCAGGGTTTTCCCCTTGATCATAATCGCTGATATCTTGACATTGTGCCGTATTTACCAAGAAACTCAGAACTCAGAAGCACAAAAACCCAGATTGAAAGTGGCCAAAAGGTGCAAACTTTTAGCTTCTTCAACCCCATTCTGAGCATTTGGAACCCAAAAAGAGAGAATTCTTTTGGGGTTTTCATTAAGGATAAATATAAATGCATTCTAGCTAAATGAAACATTATAGGGACCAAGTTGCGGGATTCAAAGTCAAGCCCCCCTCCCTTTTTTTCTTTATGATATATTATCAAAAGGGAAACTGGGAAAGGCGAGAAGGAAGGTGATGAAAAGTGTGACCTTTGTAAGAAGTAACCTTGTCTTTGGACTTTCGTCTTGTTTGCCGGCTTGGCCATGCTTGGTTAATGGTTATGGTGTCTGGTTCTTTGAGAGGAAAAACTTTTGTTACACAAATGATCAGATATTACTTTATTAAATCATTTCATTATTAAAAATTACAAAATATCATCTGACTATATAATGTTGTTTTATTAAGTCCATCGACTATTAAAAATTATAAAATGATCATCTTAATATTGATTATGTTTTAAACTCGTGATTTTCTATTAAAAACTGACGGTTGTCTAAGCTAGATGTTAATATGATGACTTTGATTATATTTTAGGACGAGTCTGCCACGTTTGACAAACACTGCTGAACACCACTAACGATAAGTACCGTTGAGCACTAATAATTTATTTTTTAAAAATTTAAAATTCAAAAACAATTCAACTTATAATTACAAATTAGTTGAAAATTTAAAAGTAAATTATTTAAAATAAAATACTAATTGCATTATTTTTTATAATTTATTTTTAACAATAAAAAATTATAGTTTACCTTTAAAAAATTATTTAAAATTTGTTAAAAAATTATGGAAATAATGTAATTAATATTTCATTTTAAATAATTTACTTTTAAATTTTCAATTAATTTTTAATTATATGTTGAATCCTTTATAATTTTAAATTTTTATAAACTAAATTAATGGTGTTCAACGGTACTCATCGTTAATGGTATTCAACAGTGCTCGTTGAGTGTTATAAAATTTTCCAATGCTACATTGTTCTTTTAATTACTTGAAAAATATATTAAACATGAAAACATTGGTAATTAACATATTTAGCATTTATCCTATGCAATCATAAAAGTACAGAAATAATGTATAGCATATAAACAAGAAAGACTAAACTGAACTTGAATTTTTTTTAAAAAAATATTCAAGATATTTCTTTTATTTAAAGTCGTATCAACAAACGTCTTGTCAATTACAGACTGAATAAATACAATCAAGACTATCATAAATAAAATATAACAATGATCGCTTAGTGATAGCACGATAAACAAAACCATTAACAAGTGGAGCAACGGCGTACATAAATTGAACACACCAACGGCTTCGAGCTTTAAAATATGAAGGAGAGAAACTTGAAGAATATCCAAAATAGCCAACAGAAAAAGCGATCTCCCCTTAACAGCAATCTCATCCGGCACATATATACGATAACCAACGAACCGTCTTGTACAAACGAACAGAGGAACCGAGTATCGGAAAAGTAACCAACCATATATTCAGTGAAAAACGAAAGACCAAAAAGAATACCAATAAAAAAACTACACCGAGAGTCTAAAACACCGGTAACCATGATACACTTTACTAAAAAAAATGGTCAAAGAAAATTATTATTGAAAATACGATAAAAAAGAACAACAATTCATTTTTCATCTATTTTGTTATTTAAAAATAAATGTTGGACCTAAAATGTAACCGCGTACCAGTTTAATCATATTTATAAGTTTTATTATTTAATATTTAGGTGAAATACACAAATAGTCCATCGACTATAAGTGTTGTTTTATTAATTATCTCGATTATCAAAAATTACAAAATTGTCTCTCGTCTATAGGATGTTACTTTGTTGAGTCATTCGACTATTAAAAGTTACAAAATAGTCACCTAAATATTCATTACGTTGCAAACTCGTTCTTCTCTATTAAAAAAATAACGTCAATCTGAGTTGGATGTTAACATGATGTCTTAGATATGATAGTCGTTTAAGATTCTGGAATTAAATTTTATCACATCTTAGATAGTATATTAACATCTAACTCACACTGTGATCAAATTTTTAATGGAAAATGATGAATTTGGAATATAATGAATAGTCGGGTGACCATTTTATCATTTTAATAGTCAAATGAATCAACAAAGTAAAATCCTATAGTCGGGGACCATTTTATAACTCTTGATAGTCGGGGGAGTCAATAAAACACCACGCTGTAGGCAAGGGACCATTTATATACTTTACCCTTAATTTATTTATAAAAAAATACCAATTCTAAAAGGTAACTTCTATGGATGAGTTGTCCACATCAAATATTGAAGGCAATGAGACAAGTGGGTATAACATGGGCTAAATTACATAACTGACACCATTTTTTTTAATTTCCCTTTCTGACACCGTTTGACTAATATTTCCAGAAGTAGCACCCTTTCTGCTAAGTTGGCAAAGGCGCGTCCCCGGGGACGCGCTTTACCCGTGTTTTCGCTGAGTTGGATGCCACGTGTGGAAGGCGCGTCCCCGGGGACGCGCCTTCCATTAAATGTCATAAATGCCCCCATCCGTTTTTCCTAACTACCCCTCCTCCTCCCCTATATAAACCCCCTCAACACTCCCTCATTCTTCACACCAAAATCATATTCTCCTCTCTTATATAACTCAAATTCTCCAACTATTTGAGTTTTAAATTTGTTATTAGTGGTAAGAAATTTATTTTTATGTTAGTATTTTTTTAAATAGTTATTATTTTTTATATTAATATATTTATGTAAATATTATTTTTTTTATTAAAATAATATTTATATAATTATTATTTATTTAGAATTATTAATTTTTTTTTTGCTAATTATATTGTTTTGTCTACAGTTATAATGGAAAACGAAATGCTGTTGCGATTGGATATTGATCATATCTCCAGACATTTTAGCGATATGGTAATATTTTTTATAATTAATGTTAATATTTAAATTTATTTTATTTTAAAGTTATTATGAATTTATATTAATTTTATTTTTTATAATGTATATTATTTAGGATGCTGATCGTATTTTAGAGACTTTCATTAAAAATCCACGTATACCGACAACTGAACGTATTTTGCCATATTTGGCTTCTGCCGGGTTCGGGTATATTGCAACAATTATAGGCGGTTGCAAACTCGAACCTGTCCTAATTTCTGCACTGATTGAGAGGTGGAGGCCCGAGACACACACTTTTCACCTTCCATGTGGAGAGGCGACAATTACATTGGAGGATGTCTCTATGCATCTGGGGCTTCCCGTCGACGGAAATATGATGTGTGGTATGGAGGATGGTGATTGGCAATCAATGTGCATTGATTATCTTGGAGCTGCTCCGCCAGAGTTTAATGGAGGTAGAATAGCTTTATCTTGGTTGAAAGCTAATTTTGAGGTTTTAAATGAAAATGCTTCAGAGGATCAAGCAAAGGCATGTGCTCGGGCATATATTCTACGAATAATTGGAGGAATATTGATGCCCGACAAATCTCACAACCAGGTGCATTGTATGTGGTTGCGACATCTGATCGATTTTGATGAAGCTGGAAGATATAGTTGGGGTGCTGCAGTTTTGGCATTTCTCTTTAGAGAAATGTGTCGGGCGACGAATTATAAGAAAACTGCTATCGGTGGATGTCTTCTGCTTCTACAATCATGGGCGTGGTTCCGCATGCCTTTCTTATGCCCGATCGTGAATGAACCATACGTATTCCCCTTATTGTTGAGGTAATTTTCGAACTAAATTTTGATTTAAATAATTTCAATTAAATAGGGTGATATTTAGTTTATATTATATTTCATAGGTGGTCGATGAAAAGAAAGGACCATAAAAGTATACCTACTGGGTTAGAGGAAATTCGTTTACTTATTGATACGAAAGCTGGGTCTGAGGTATGTTTTTAAATTTTTTTAATTATTAATATTTTAATTTAAAATGTTAGATATAATTAGAATATTTTATTTATTTGAATTGTATATTTATATTTCAGTTTCAGTGGATACCTTATGCGAGCGATGAAGTGAAAGCTTGCATCCTACCCCACCTTAGTGGGTCATTAGAGGTATGGATATCGGTTATACCTCTTATATGTTATGCTATTATTGAGTGGCATCCAGTTGATCGCGTGCTCCGTCAGTATGGTTGTACGCAATATATTCCTGGAGCTCCTAGGAATTTAGACGACGTGCATAACATAGATAGACGAGGAAAGAAAGATGTTAACTGGGTGGTGAGACACAGAGATTGGATTGCGCTTTGGGAGAACCGATATACACTGTTGGCCCCTCGACAATATTACGCTGAAACTGGTCATATGGTTACGGATAACTATATGGACTGGTTTAATGAAAATGGGAAGCCGTTTCTACTTTCGGCGGAAGCACGAGGGGTTAACATTCCTAGGCGCCGAGAAAGACGTCAACCGTCTCAATATCATCGTCTCCCGACGCGTGGACGGAGAGAAGGCGCTACCGGTTCTGCATCAGTCCCACCACAACATCCTTATTCGTCGATGCCGCAGGGGTACATGCCCAGCCCTCCACTTCATATGCCAAGCCCACCAGTTTATATGCCATCTCCGCAGGGTTACATTCCGAGCCCGCAGGGTTACATTCCTAGCCCGCCAGATTACATGCCTAGCCCACCAGGTTACATGCCTAGCCCGCAGGGTTTTATACCATATGGAGGTGCATATACGACTATGTTTAATGATCCAGCATATGGTTCATATGCATCTTATTTGGCTGGTGGTGCTTCTCCGCAGACACCTCAATCTCCATCTGGATCACATACATTGATGCCAATGTTTCCACAGTTTTCACAGTTCCCGGGGAGCAGTGGGATTATTACTAGCACTCCTCCAGGGTCGTTATTTTATACAGGCCCTTCAGCCCCTTCAGCGTCATCTACACCAAATGAAGAAAATGCTGTTGATGATGATAGTGAAGATGAGGAGACTGAAGAACAAGTTCCACGAAGAAATCCTCCACGAAATAGACAACCACCGCCATGTGGAACTCATTCGAGAAGACGACATCGGTGATCCAGTTATATTTAATGTTATTTAAATAATTATATTTCAGAATTTTATGTAATTTGGTTATGTTATTTAAATGTTTCATGGTTGTTACATACATATTTTTTAATGTTATTTTTTATTCACATTTAACATTAAATGTTTGATAAATGTTTTTAAAATACAAATTATATTATTCAAAATTTAAAATAAAAATAAAAATAATATTATTCAAATTCAAATTTAAAATATAAATTATAGTATTCGAAATTTAACATTAAATTTCAACTTAATATTCCAATTGTATTCGAAATTAAAAGTTATATTCCAATTATAGTACACAATACTTAAATTGAAATTAAATTTATCCATACATATGATTTTATCATTAACATATATATTAAAACGTATACATTAAAATCAACTTATGTTGAGTTCATCGATCGACGGAATCAGCCAAGAGGGGGTGAATTGGCAATTTATTCAATGTCACATTTCAATGCTCATTCCATTCAATTTCAATGTCACAATCAACTTATCACTTCACATTTATTCAATTTATCCATAACATTTTATCTAATTTATTCAAACTTCACATAACGTTTTAATTTAAGTTATTCTTAACTTGCTGAACTTTCAAAAGAAGTTAAATTTTGGTTATAATTTACCTGATTTACTGATATATCTAGTGTCCCCGAGGGACATGAGTGACATAATAGGGCAATGATAACATATTCTCTGACGAAATAATGGAAGGCGCGCCCCCGGGAACGCGCCTTCATGTGAATAGTGAAATAATAGGTACTGATATATCTAGTGTCCCCGAGGGACATGATGACATAATAGGGCAATGATAACATATTCTTTGACGAAATAATGGAAGGCGCCCCCCCGAGAACGCGCCTTCATGTCCCCTAAGAAATAATAGGTACTGATATATCTAGTGTCCCCGAGGGACATGAGTGACATAATAGGACAATGATAACATATTCTCTGACGAAATAATGGAAGGCGCGCCCCCGGGAACGCGCCTTCATGTGAATAGTGAAATAATAGGTACTGATATATCTAGTGTCCCCGAGGGACATGAGTGACATAATAGGGCAATGATAACATATTCTCTGACGAAATAATGGAAGGCGCGCCCCCGGGAACACGCCTTCATGTAAATAGTGAAATAATAGGTACTGATATATCTAGTGTCCCCGAGGGATATGAGTGACATAATAGGGCAATGATAACATATTCTCTGATGAAATAATGGAAGGCGCGCCCCCGGGAACGCGCCTTCATATCCCCTGAGAAATAATAGGTACTGATATATCTAGTGTCCCCGAGGGACATGAGTGACATAATAGGGCAATGATAACATATTCTCTGACGAATAATGGAAGGCGCGCCCCCGGGAACGCGCCTTCATGTGAATAGTGAAATAATAGGTATATATCTAGTATCCCCGAGGGACATGAGTGACATAATAGGGCAATGATAACATATTCTCTGACGAAATAATGGAAGGCGCCCCCCCGGGAACGTGCCTTCATGTGAATAGTACTCCGATTATAGACATTATTATATGCAACGTATTATAAACTTTCAAAACAAACTTCAGTTCACAATCTTTCAAATTCTCAAATTCCCAAACTCTAAATTCTCAAATTCTCTGAAAATGAGTCATCTTTCTGCTGTTGTTTTGTATGATGGAGAAATTAAGGAAGCTGAAGAGGGGGTTGTTTTTGAGTCAGATCATTATATCCCCTTAACCTTGAAGAGAAACATCACAATTGAGGAGTTAATCACAAAAATTTCGTTAAAGATTCGTGTAGCAGGCCAGAGAAGATTATTTTCACTTCAGTACAGATTTCCTACTGAACTTTTTCCGCTCACGTATACATCATTTCAGCTTTCAAACGATGATGATGTTTCTATGATGGTTGATGCTCATATGGGGAGTTCACAATCTCTTATTGAAATGTATGCCACTTTTATTGAGGTTCGTGCAACTCGTGGTCTCTCATATTCCTCTCACTTTGGCATTGCATATCAAACTGATCAAGTTGATAGCCCGACACAACTGATCTATAATGATTTCACATCATTAATGGCGGATCCAACGCCATATACCATGCCATCAAGTTCAATAGGAAGGCATTCATCTGCAACTGCTTATGATCTCAACCCACGTGGCTTCACCAATAATCCATATGGCAACATCTCTTCTACTTCAAGGGGCAGACATTCATCTGCCAATGTTTTCGACTTACATATGGAAATGCCAACGAGACGACAGTATATTCACATCCCACATGATACAATGGCCTCAAGTTCAAGGGGAGGACACGCAAGTGGGAACTTATTTGACCTCAACATTGGATTATCGGAGGAACCCTCATCTCCACCAGAAGAACCTCTTCGGGAGCCAGGTGCAGATGGTGCTGAAACGGGATTATTCGTTGAACCTGACTCACCACAGTTTAACGTACATTCTGATGATGACGAGGATGACGTTCTGATAAATATAACACCAGCCGAACTTCCTGCACATATGTATGAGGCTGATTATGATGCAATGTATGAGCCTGAATTTCCAGATCTTCCTGATGTTGGCAACTATGGACTTCAATCATCAATCAATGACGGTAATTTACATATTGGAATGGAGTTCGCATCGAAGGAGGAAGCAATGATGGCAATAAAGAGTTACAATATTCGTAACTCAGTTCAGTCCCGAGTTGATCGATCTAACACGGAGAAATATGTCTGCTACTGCGTCCAACGTGACAACGGATGTCAATGGATGGTCCGTGTATCAAAGAGGAAGAGGAAGAACAACTTATGGGAACTAACCAGATACAATGGTCCTCATACATGTTGTGCAACAGGTATAAACCAGGATCATCCCAACTTGGACTCCAACATTATTTGTCAAGCAATCATGCCCATTGTGAAGCAAAGCTCTCATATAGCTGTTGCAGTGTTGATTTCTGCTATACAGTCACAATATGGGTACACTGTCTCATATAAAAAAGCGTGGTTGGCAAAACAGAATGCCATTTGCAAACTTCATGGCGAATGGGATTCCTCTTACAACGAGCTGCCCAGTTGGTTTCATGTTGTGAAAAGACTTAATCCCGGGACAATTGTTGAGTTCGAAACTCAACATCATTACGTGAATGATCGAATGGTTCGCGATCGCTGCCAATTTTACCGAGTCTTTTGGACTTACCCTCAGTGTATTAATGCAGTCAAGTACTGTAAACCAATTGTCCAAATTGATGGTACTTTCTTGTATGGGAAATACAAGCAAGTTTTATTATTGGCTGTGGTCCAAGATGGAAACCGCAATATTCTTCCTGTTGCGTTTGCCCTCGTTCAAGGAGAAGACACTGAGTCTTGGGCTTTTTTCCTTAAAAATTTACGTTTACATGTTGTCACCAGGGAACGACTATGCATTATTTCAGACCGAGGAGCCGGGATAAAAGCAGCAATGGACTCTTTGGGTACAATGTATAGACCTCCACATGTTCAACATCGTTATTGTGTCCGTCATATTGCTGCAAACTATTACGGAAAATACAAGAAGAACGATGAACGTCAGTTAGTCGTGCGGATGGGTATGTTACTTTTTCCCAATTTTTCTATCAATTTCTTATTACTTATTTATACTTCATATTAACTATTACATATTCCTAATGGCTTAGGTTACGAACTCTTACCTCAAAGGTTTGAGTCGATGCTACAAGAGCTGTTTGGCAAAAATAAGAAGGGGTGCGAGTACATTATGGACATCAGCAAAGAAATGTGGACAAATGCATATGACGGGGGGTATCGCTATGGTCATATGACAACAAACTTGGCTGAAGCAATAAATTCAACCTTAAAGGGGGCGCGTCATTTACCAGTCACGGCGTTGGTTAAAACGACTTATTTCGTTTGGGTCAACTCTTTGCAAAGCTCGGTGGACAAGCTCTTACTTGGATGCAAAACAGACATATTTACCACCCAAGTCTAGTAGTTGATTTACAGAAAAAAGTGGCTGCATCAAATGGGATGTTAGTTACAAATTTTTCTCGCACCCGTGAATTGTTTCGTGTAACCGAAATGCCACGTCCGCTGCAAGGGATTGAAGCTAACTCTTTCAGAGTTAATCTGCAAGAGAGGTGGTGCGATTGTGGTTTCTTTCAAGCACTCAAATATCCATGCTCTCATGTCATTGCTGCTTGCTCACATTCGCATTTGGACTACAAAAATTATGTTGATCCCGTATACCAACTTTCACAAGTATTCAAGGTATATGAATTTGAGTTTCCGCCCATAGGAAACGAAAGAGACCCAAATGAGATTCAAACTTGGCTTACAATTGTACCAGATCCATTGCTATTGAGGGACTCAGGTCGTCCAAAATCTACTAGAATACATTGTGATATGGATATTCGGGAGAAGTCAACAGAACAAAAACGATGTGGGCATTGTAGAAACATCGGGCACAATAGAAAAAAATGTCCAGCTCTGTTATCATCATATAACCGTTAACTCTTATGTAATTAATATTGTATTTAAATGAATGTTTTTGTTTCTAATAATTTAATGTTATTGCATTTATATAATTTGTCAATGTATGTACACCTAAATAATTTTTTTTAACTTTTAAATACATAAATATATTAATATATTTATTAATATAATAATTAATATTATTAGTTATAATTTTTTTAAAATATAATAATAATTCCACTTTCTAAGTAGAGAAAAATATTAAATTAAACAAATTAAAAGTTATTAAAAAATTTATGTATACGATGACACATTTCATGTTCTGATTGGAGGATTAAATTTATTAAATTAAATTTTCAATAAGACTAATTTTATAAAATATGTAAGTCTTGAAGATTAAATATGTAATTATACTAATTTATTAACTTATGCATCAATATTTTCGTTAAATATTGATATGAGATGACTAGATTGATAACATTTAAATAATTAACTGATAAAATTAATAGATCGATAATCAAAATCAAAAATAATAATATAACCATATGTGTAATATTATAATTTCATACATTTTTCCTATAACTACAATAAAGTCAAAACTGGTTTTCATATATTGTTATATCATATTAATGTAGATAATTCACTCCACCTTTAACACACATTAACAAAATACATTTGATAATTCTTACATTATAATCGAAACATTTTACATAATATATTATTTTATAATAATAATAAAATAAACTATTTATTATAAAACAAATACGTGTCTGCTGAGTTGGCAAAGGCGCGTCCCCGGGGACGCGCCTTCCACACGTGGCATCCAACTCAGCGAAAACACGGGTAAAGCGCGTCTCCGGAGACGCGCCTTTGCCAACTCAGCAGAAAGGGTGCTACTTCTGAAAATATTGGTCAAACGGTGTCAGAAAGAAAAAATTTAAAGCAAACGGTGTCAGTTATGTAATTTAGCCGTACTAATGACATGGTCATCAATGAATGTACGATTCTAATGACATGGTCATCAATGCATGTACGATTCTAATCAATCACCATTGGTCTATGCCCATTCATGATTTTTTTCTTCCTGCAAAACCCTAAACTCTAGATCTTAAAATGAAACATCATAATATACATTTTTTTAAATCAATTACATCAAATAAAAAATATAATTTAAACATTTATTTTACGTTAAAACTTAAATATTTTAAATAAAAAGTATAACACTATCAAATATATATTTGTGTTGTATAATCAATTTTTGTGTACATTTCTTAAATCATTTATGGCCGTCAAACTTCTAACTGAACAAATGAGTTAATTTAAAAGCTTGAACTTAAATATATATTAAAGATTGCGGTAAATTACGTATTTAGTCATCTAACTATTCGTTCGGTTTTGTTTTGGATACTAAACTATTCTTTTCTTCAAAATCATATCAAATGTTATTTTAGTCACATGCTATTAAAAAGTAACGAGGTGATGTTAATATGTCATCATAAGTTAGTGTAACATAATATATATATATATATATATATATATCATGTAAGTAGTTATGTTAATTTTTTAACGATGAGTGACCAAAATGTAACATTTAATTTTTTAACGATGAGTGACCAAAATATAACATTAAGTATGATTTTGAAAAAAAAATAATTGAGTTTCCAGAACAAAACCACCCAAATAGTTAGGTGACTAAATACTTGGTTTACCATAAAATTATATCACAATTGAATTAAAATTAGGCTTAAATGCACCATTGCCCGTTAAAGTATGAAATTTGTATCGAGTTGTCGGCTAAAATATTTTTTAGGGTTTTTTTGTCACCTAAAATATTTGTTAGAATGTTTGGCTCCTGAAGTTTAAATTGTTACTTTATTTACCTTGAATCGTTAACTCCATTCAAAACAAAGATAAACTACATATTTAATCACTTAACATTTAGGGCTAACTACATAATTGATCACTTATGTTTTGTATTTTATCCACTTTTCCTCACTGATTTTAAAAAATATATATATGATCATTTTTATTTAGTTAAGATATGGTCACTTTCATTTTTAGTTAACTAAGATATGATCACCACGGCTTAACTGTCTGTTAATAGTTAACAGATTAGGTGCATGGTATTTTGGTATAATCACACATTTGGTTACTGTTATTTATATATTCTATCGATTTAGTTCTACGTTTTTAATAAATTAAAATAAATTTAATCATCCAATCGGATGAACTTTATTTTAGTTTAATATATATATTTTTCATTACATGACACCCTATGGTTAAAAGAAAAGAAAATTAATTAAATTAGGGTTAAAGAGATTCGATCCTAGGTCACTTCAAAAACCAAACATGTACCCAACCATTAAGTCAAAACCAATGCTTGGTTTAAGATAGACAATATGAATATTAGTGTATAAATACTTTACTTAAATTCATAATATTTTTTTATATATATTAACTTTAAGAATTTTATATTATTATTAAATATATTTTATTATTAACTTATTGAAAATATTTTATTTTTATTTTAATTTAAAAATATTTTAAAATATTTTAAAATTAAGATAAAAATAAAATATATTTAATAATGTAAAGTAACAATATAATATATTTAGTAAATTAAGATAAAATATTTTTTATTCTTATCTAAACTTTTAAAAATTTATTTTATTATTATTTTAACTTTTCAAAGTATATATATTATCTGAATTTAAAATTTAAAATATGTATTATCTCAGTTTATTAAATATATATTATTATTTAGATCATTAAATATTTTATTCTTATCTTAATTTTAAAATATTTTAGCATAAATATATTTTGAAATTAAATTAAAATAAAAATATTTTAAATTAAATTAATAAAAAGATTTTTAATAAGTTAATATTAAATATTATAAATTTAAGTTAAATATTTATACATTAAGATACAAAATACATAAACCGTATTGTCTATTTTAAGACAAGTATAAATCCTAGTTATGGTTTGGTACATGCTTTGTTTTCCAAATGACTTAGGTTCAAATCCATTTGACCTTAATTTGATTCGCTTAATATTCTTTCAACTAGATGGTGATATGTTACCTTTTGATTGATGAAAAATAAATTATATTTAAAATTAAGTTAATTTTCCAACTAAAATGATGACGCATGATATCATTCGATTGGAGAATTAAATTTATTTTAATTTATTAAAAAAAATTAAATTGAGAGAATATATAAATAACATAAACCAAATGTGTGATGATGCCAAAATATTTAACGACAATTAATTTGGGGTGACAACATTTTAATTAAATAAAAACGAAAATAATCATATATTATATTTTTCAAAACTAATAAAGAAAAATAGACAAAACACAAATATAATTAATAAATAAATAGTTAACCCTGAATTTGACGACACCATTATGTGATGCTTTATTATTTTTACCATTGCGTTTTTATAACAAACGAGATAATAATTTAAATTTCAAAAGATAATACGTTTTAGAAATAATTTTAAAGGATAACTCGATACAAATAGCATACTTTAGGTGATAACGTGCATTTAAATCTTAAAATTATTTTATCAACTTTCTAGAATTCAAATTATTTATATTTTTTTCATGCTAAAACAGCTTATGCTGACACAACTAGAAGTTGGAACAACCCTTTATTCCTGGTATTTTATTAAAGAATTCATATGTTTTGTTCTTGGTGTTTTAGGATACATTCATACAAACAATTTAGAGCCCATGGTTGCAAGCTACGTCAATGGTTTCTTCCAACTGTCGACCACCTTTAAATACTTTTCTTTTTTAAAAATATTGACAGATATGGCACACCAATGACTCGTTCTCCATGATTTTTTCTTCACCTTAAAAACCCTTTCTTGTGAAGAAAGTGACACCCCAAATCCCACAAATTAGTACTATAATAATCTCATCTAGTTTTTTTTCTCAATTATTTTTTTTTTGGATTTTTGTTGTTTACTCACTCAAAGGCCGAAGCTTTTTGTTCTGCCAAATGGGGTTCTTGGTTGTTGAGCTACAATTAATCTCCTTTGCTTTGACTTGTTATTTGCTTTAAATCATGGAGAGTTCGTCTCCGTTTCCCTTTCTGGGTTTCTCTTTTATATGATAAGCTTCCAAATTCTGGCTCTGTCTTTTTTGTTTGTGGAGACAAAAAACATCAATAGAGAAGGTCAGTTCTTTGAAATTGTTTCATTTCTGCACGAAAAGTGTTTGAATTTATGCTGCTTTGGTCTTTCGTAGTTAAAAAATGTTGTTGGAAGTTCACATCTTTATCAAAATATTTCCTTTGGCTTGTAACATGATATAGTAATGGATTTCACGTTGTTGAAGAAACAGAAAATCTGGGTTTTGATTGTTTCTTCCATTGATGAGTTCTTTGGAGCTGTTGTTTGCAGGGATGGACGGGGGAGGGGGCCTGAAAATTTATAATTACTATAAATTTTAAATTTTTTCTATGTATTGTCCAATTGAAAACTGTTTCGCCCCCTCCTAAGAATTTTAGTTTACCCCCTGAATTTTAGGTCATCTCCCTTAAGTTTAAGTTCGTCTTCTAATATAAAATTGGACATACGTCCCTGGTTGTTTGAGTTGATCATGTTGTTTTGTTTGTGTTAATATGCAGTGAGGTTTGTTTGTTTCATTTGGGAAAGGGGGCAATGAAGTGTTTTCATTTCTCTGGTAAAGAGAAGAATGATGAACCGAAAACTGCAAAGTCTATTTCGGTTCGATCCTCCGAATCGATGTCGACCGATCTCGAAATGAGGAGATCAGGGTCTGAGTTTAACTCTCAGAATGTCTCTGAGATTAGCAGCACTGGATCTTCGACCACCAAGAACTCGTTTGCTGCTTTGTCTCAAAGACAGAGTAATCTCAGGGAGTTCACATTCTTGGAGTTGAAGGCTGCAACGAAGAACTTCGGTCGGTCCTTGATGATCGGAGAAGGCGGATTCGGCTGTGTGTATCGAGGTGTAATCAGAAGCACCGATGATTCCACCAAGAAGCTCGAAATCGCTGTTAAACAACTCAGCAGAAGAGGATTGCAGGTGAATTTTCTGCTTCTCTAACACAATGTTCTCGAGTTTGTGAGTGAATTATCAGTTTTGGCATCGTATCCTATGAAGTTAATACATGGAGGGGGTATCGATAGTTCGTTTGACATACAAAATTCCAATAATTCATATGTTTCTTAAGATCATTGTTTACATGAATGAAGATGATATAATGCTGTTATTGTAAGGAAATATATATAGTTTCATTTAGCCGAACCGTATGATATACTCTATGAATGCCCGGCTTTCTCCTTAGCACATCCTTCCATAGGGCATCACCCGAAAATCCTCTTTGATGTCTGATAAGTTGTATAGTTTAGATATTCGATCGTCGACACTATGAAGCATTTCACCATGTTCGAAGTCCTCGATATACTAGTATAGCCGTACCAATGCCTTTTTTCCTAGACTCAAGCTAAGTTGTTTTGCCATAGGCTAATGCATCTTGACTCTTCCGTTTAAGGTTGCGAATCTATTTCTTTACGGTTTCGGTTAGAATTAGTTTTGAAAAACCGAAAGCTCTGATGATTTAATAGGTTCCTATGATATGCTCTTTTACAGGGGCACAAAGAATGGGTGACTGAAGTTAATGTTTTAGGGGTAGTTGAACACCAAAACCTTGTCAAACTGTTGGGTTACTGTGCTGAGGATGATGAAAGAGGGATACAGAGGCTACTGATTTATGAGTACATGTTGAACCGGAGCGTGCAGGATCACTTGTCAAGCCGGTTTCATACGACTCTTCCTTGGGCCACAAGAATAAAAATCGCTCGGGATGCTGCTCGGGGCTTATCGTACCTCCACGAAGGAATGGATTTTCAGGTTTGTTCTACTTCTCAGTAGATAGCATAACGGAAATTGATAACTACGATGCTTCATTTTGTGATCGAAACCCAAAGTCACCACATTGTTACAGATTATCTTCAGAGATTTCAAGTCTTCCAACATACTCTTGGATGAGCATTGGAATGCGAAGCTTTCGGATTTCGGGTTAGCCAGACTGGGGCCTTCGGATGGTTTAAGCCATGTTTCAACTGCGGTAGGTTCATATCGCCTTGAACTCTTGGATTTGATATTAATTCTGCAGAATATTCGTAAGCATGTTTGTTTTATGGAAATAGAGGTACCGATTTGTCCCGGTTTTGAGCAGGTTGTAGGAACCATCGGATATGCAGCTCCTGAATACATTCAAACCGGCCGCCTCACGGTCAAAAGCGATGTATGGAGCTACGGAGTTTTCCTTTATGAGCTCATAACTGGTAGGCGTCCATTGGATCGTAACCGCCCCAAGGATGAACAAAAGCTCTTGGACTGGGTGAGGCCACACCTATCTGATAAGAAGAGGTTCGTGCTGATCTTGGACCCGAGGCTTGAAGGCAATTATTCCTTCAAGTCCGCTCGTAAACTCGCAATGGTAGCCAACAAATGCTTGGCTCGGCAGGCGAAACAACGCCCGAAAATGAGCGAAGTTCTACAGATGGTGAATGAAATCATGGAAACTGAAGATGTGGTAAGCCATCAGCCCACTACAAAGAGTTCAATTCAGAAACATGCTTCTGAACTATCGAAACGAGAGCGCTTGAAAAGAAGGTTCGTTGATCTGATAACCGGGGACAAAGTGTGTTCGGTTTGGCGAACATGGAGACCGAAGATCGTGAGAACTACATAAACAAAACTATTTAGTTCGAATTTTGTTGACGTTCATATATTCATGTAAAAACAATTGTAAAGGTTTTGTGGGAAGTTTCATATATAAAAACCAGTTCAAAAATGAGGAAATTTAAAGTATCTTATTCATGTCTGAAACTCGTATCATCTCCTATAAATACCCGTGTCCGAAACTCGTATGATTGTACCTGAATACGACTTACTTTACCCCTCAGGATGCTTAGATAACAAGCAGGAGGAAGTATTAAGGCCTGCAATGGAAGTAAATCATCAGAAAAAAAGGACCTTAGTCTTTGAGTTCTATGTTTATTTCAGCCAAGGAGCATCCATGATTAACAATGGCAGAACGATAACTTACGACTATCAGCGACAATACCAAGCCCAGCGAAAGAAGAAAAATCTCCAACGAAAACCCGGAAATTTCAATGAAATTCCGAGAGGTTTATGCCCTTCGAACATGGAAGGTAAGATGTAAAGGTGCTTACCGAAGAACAGAACACCGAGACCGACGACCAAGGTCGATATCACCAGTAATGTTCGGATCACAATAGAGTAGACGTGATACTTAAGATACTGTGACGGTAACAATTCCTCAAGACTCATTGCCACCGGAGACAAGGTTAATGCATATGTTTGGTCTAATTAAGGCTTACATGCATAATATATATATCGGTATCTCATACTTACACTCGAGTTCGACTAACATAGATATAAAACTCGAGTTCGAGTAACGTAGATACGAAGAAAAAGGATATTTGGTAAATGGGTTGACAATCTGCAAAAGAACAAAAAAGTCGAGTATATATTAGTTTCACATATGGATATTACTTGCTAAATACAGAAGTCATCAAATGCTATTTGAAGAAGGTAATGATCGATTATGTTATTCCGACTTTTCATTTTTTTAAAGTTCTTAAGTCCGACATATTTGTAACGAAGTATAGAACAGCGTACCGTCGCCCAAACAGCGATCTTCGAAGCAAGCAGATCTTTAGGCATGTTAAGCGTAAACTGTGATTCCGTCGCTTCTCCGAACATATTGTACCCTACAACTGCAGTTCCAGCATACAACAGATTACAGATTCCAAAACTGCATGGAGAATTAGAACCAAAGATGACAATATTCGATACAATGCAACACATTGCGCGATCGATCTTTTGAGTGCGATTGTGAACCGGAAAAACAATTCGAGAGAGAGTAACACCACAAATAGATTTGATGAGGCTTTAGTTTACCATGGTAAGAGTACTGAAGAGAATTGAGCCGGCTCTGCCATCGAAGTGTATATATTAGGGAAAACGGCATGGCCCTAATAGCAGAAACCGTGGAGTCCGACAGCGACAGGGAGTGTAGCGAAATTCAATGATGTCCCTTCGTTTTGAGACCCAACTTGATCCACCAAGCCAACCCAAAACAAGCAAAGTACCACCACCAATGATGCAACAACTCCAGCTGTAAAAACACACACAGATTGCACTTAGACAACCTCGAATTACGTCACAAAAAGAGAGTGAAACGATGCGAGCTCAACTCGAAACGCCCAAACTACCGATTTTACCACAGAACAGCTTGTTTTATCACATTAGATGTAACTAAGGATACTGAGGTCTCTGAGCCAAACGGTGGGAAGAACAGCGAGGGTAGTCATCAGACAGAAGAAACGATGCGAGCTCAACTCGAATCTGCCCAAACTAAGATGCGGATTCGGGAATAAGGATGATAAGTTATCACCCTCTAGAATTATATAGTCAATACAAGAAGCCTACATTGAAGATGAGAATCAATGTTCAAAGTAGTATCTATCACATGCAAGCATCCATGTATGCATACATCCATGCATACAATGCTTATTTCTCATGTTAACAGTGTAACAAGGCAAATACATGTATACATACATAATTATTTTAGGAAAAGGAAAGCTGCACTTACATATAATTCCACATACAAAATTATCTGCATCCACATAAAAGGAAGCAAGAGCAAATTTAAAATCAGTGGTCATATGCCAAGATATGTATTGGATATGGGTTCAAAGACGAGTATTTCGAGAAAAATGAAGAATCGGAACAATATAGTGGTTATGACTTTCCGAAAGGGTGATTCTACCGGCGGCACCGAATGCAGCTTGACCGATATCAGGGGTAATTTTCGAGCTCGGGTGAGCTATCCAGACATTGGCGCAGAAGCAGGCCAGTGTAATAAGGAAGCAATACGAATGTTAGTAATATTATAAGCCCTAACCATCCTCCTTCTTTGGCTGCATATGGGGTGGAAAGGATTCCAACATCACATAGCACATTGATCCCTGCACAAAATGTAGAATTTTAGCTTATTTTTAACAAATGTTTCTCGTTAACCTCGACCGAACAAATCGAATTCGAACTAACCATTCATCACTGCTTGGCCATAGGTACTCTGGCGAGCAAGGGGAAGTCCATGCGCGTGGTCGACCTCGTACACTTTGTCATCGAATCTCACGGATGTTCACCTTGATGGCGGCGCAGAAGTCACCAAAGAGTGCATGCTACGTTTATCCTGCTGTATTTCATAGTCTACCAATGGTGGTAGCAACGGTTTCCTCGCCGGCGTGTGTTGTGTTTCTGGTGTAAATCTTCGGGTTAACGACGACGAAAGAACGAACTCCCCAGTCTCGACAGCGTAGGAGTGCCCAAGAACCCGATGGTCGGAGATGGTACACTACTGTACAAATCAATAGAATGCCTGAAAAAAGGAACATTAACATAAAGCTAAAAGCATTTCGAATTTTATGTGCCGGATGATCATACTCTAACATTAATATTTAAATTGTCGGATTCGAATATGTGTCGGACCATCGAGAAAAACAGATCACCTGTAACGTTGAGACCATTGAGTGGCCAGAGAACTTGGTTTCCTTTGTTGCCGGTTTTCAGCTGGAGAAAAATAACTATAAATGTCATGTCCATCATCTTCTTCATGTCTGTTAAACTCGAATTCCTCCACTTCTTCGTCTTCATCTTCGCTTTCGATGTAGAAACTCTGATCCGAAACCGAGGTCTTCATTATCGTCTACGTATCCTTTAATCTCCTGAAAATCCTATGATCTCAACACATAGGCAGTTTATGATTACGAATGTAATGGATGTTATTATGAGTAGAAATCAGAAAAATATAAGGACTTCAACCATACCTTAATGGCAGAATTTAATCCTTCTATGTGATATGGATTGGAATGGAAATTAGTTTTCACCTAAAAATGTCAATAAATTGGATAAGATAACGCGTAGGAATTCGTTTGAATGAATAAATTTGATGGGAAAATTGAATGTTCCAATGTAAAGGCAGGCCATATTTGTAGGGGATTGAATTTGAAGTTTTCAAAAATGATTTCTTTGGTTTTCTCGGCAACCAAACAAACAAATCTTGAGTGCATTGAACAAGAGAACTCTAAAAACCAAACTTTTCCCAGAAAATTTTCTGGGTTAAATTAAACAGAAACCATCGACCATATTGAAAAAACCGTGTCTTGATAATCACCCTGAGATGGCTTCTTCCTTGATTATATATATATACACACACATTAGAATCATAAAAGTAAACCTTTTTCTCGACATCTGGTACATAAAATTAACTGGGTTCTCTCTGGAGATGAAGATCTGAATCAAGAAACAGAACAAATATGTAGGACTTAAACCAAGTACTATATATATATACACATTTTTTACATTAATTTATAGGTTACATAAATGCTCTCCCGGGTTATATAACGTTGTTTTGTGAGTTATCAACTATTAAAAGTTACAAAATGATCTTTCGATTATAAGACATTTTTTATTCTAAACTTGTTTTTTTCGTTAAAAATTTGACGACCTTTTGAATTGGACGTCAATCTGTTGATTGGGCTATGATAATGTCACATTTTAATGATATCTTTTAGCATCGTTGTTGTTTTCAAGTACTGACTTAACAATATAATGTTTCAAGCATTGGTTGGACGACATAATGTAAACAGAGAGTCGATCTATAAAACATAACTCAAATGGTTTTAAGATAAGATTTTATCATATCTCAGTCAATAAATTAACATCAAACTCAGACTATTGTCAATTTTTTGACGAAAAAGACGAGTTTAGAATATATTAATAATCAAGTGACCATTTTACAACTTTTAATTATCATAGAACTTAACAAAGTAATACACTATAATTAAGGGACTATTCTGTAATTTTTAATAATTGAAGACTTAACAAAACAACACTCTTGATTGACCATTTGTGTACTTCACCCTGATTCATAACCATTTATGATTTTTTTATCAAGTAAAATCAAATTTTTTATTATTTAAATTTTATTTGAATATTTTCCTTTTATATTATCGATAATATCTTGTGTGGATAATTTTTTTAAACGCTATTGCATATAGGGATGGGCATTTAAACCCGACCCGATCCGATCGGGTCTGATTTTTTTAAAAAAAATTTAGGTTCGGGTCAGGTTTTTTTTTATATGGTGTTCGGGTCGGGTTGGGTTCGGGTTTAGGGTGAAAAAAATATGACCCTACCCGACCCGGAAAAAATATATAATTTTACCCTATATATTTAGGGATAATTACAATAATACCTCTCTATATATAATTTTTTTCAATTAAGTCATTGTTTTTATTGAATAAAAATATTTTATTATTATTTTGGGGCGAGTTTCTATGTCATATATTCGAGTCGGGTCGAGTCGGGTGAAACCTTGTTTTGATCGGGTTGAGTCTCGGGTGGAGACTCTCTTGTTCTCGGGTCGGGTGGACCAAAAACCCGACCCAACCCGACCCATACCCATCCCTAATTGCATATTTTTATTTTTGTCTTAATAATAGGATCTCCATATTAATTATTTAACTCTATCCAATATTTTTAAACCTTGTATTTTTAATATATTTTATAATAAAATTTATATTGTGGTGCTTTTAAACACATTTTGTATGGATAAACTACGCATTGAGTACATAAACTATTAGGTTTGATTCGTTTTAGTACCTAAATTTATTTTAAAAACTTAATGTCAAATTTTGAACGATATTTTGAAATGAAATAAAAACTACATCTTAGGTATGATTTTGAAAAAAATAGAAGCTTATGTACTAAAACGGATCAAAATTGATATTTTAGGTATTAAACACATAATTTACTCTATTTTATTTTCAATATTCTCATTAAATACAGATTGCATTATGCCTCGAGCTTTATTCAATTGATTTATATTCGACCAAACAATATTTAGCATATTTGAATGCAGTGGGAAAAAAGTTGATTAAACCGAATTAGGTAAATGATTTGAATTAATTTAAATGAAAGTTTCATTTTATTTGATTTTGACAATTAATTCGATTTAGTTTTAGTTTTCGAAATTTAAACCGATTATTTTTTCAAAATAAAAAATTATACATATATGAAATTAATTATTCAAATATAAAATAACATGGTCGAATTATTTAATTCATTGTGTAAACATTTAAATCTAAAATGATAATTTTTATTTATATATAAATTTGAAAATTGAAATTTATCAATTTGAATTGACAGTTTAGACAATTATTTCGATTTCAATAATAAAGTCAATTCGATTTATTTAAATTGTGTTTTAATCCGTTTCGGTTGAATGGTATCTAGAAGCCCTCAAACTTTTGAAGAAAAGTCGATGTAGTACTCAGGGACGGAGTTAGAAAATTTATTCTAAAGTGTCAAATTTAAAACTTAAATGAAGATTTTCTTTTTTAAGTGAGAAAATTGAGTTTTAATTTTATTTTTATTTTCCCGAAAAGAGGGTGTTTTCTATGTATCAATAGGGGGAAACACACAAATCAGTGCATCGATAACGGCTTCGTTAAAAAACCAATCGATGTATTACTCAGGGATGGAGGTAGAAAATTTATTTTAAAGTGTCAAATTTAAAACTTACGTGAAGATTTTCTTTTTAAGTGAGAAAATTGAGTTTTAATTTTATTTTTTCCCCTGAAAAGAGGGAGTTTTCTATGTATTAACAGGGAGAAACACACAAAACAGGGCATCGATAAGGGCCTCGTTAAAATCTCAATCGATGTAGTACTCAGGGATGGAGGTAGAAAATTTGTTTTAAAGTGTCAAATTTAAAACTTACGTGAAGATTTTCTTTTTTAAGTGAGAAAATTGAGTTTTAATTTATTTTATTTTCGAAAAAAGGGAGCTTTCTATGTATTAATAGGGAGAAACACACAAAACATGGCATCGATAAGGGCCTCGTTAAAAAACCAATCGATGTAGTACTCAAGGATGGAGGTAGAAAATTTGTTTTAAAGTGTCAAATTTAAAACTTACGTGAAGATTTTTTTTTAAGTGAGAAAATTAAGTTTTAATTTTATTTTTTTCTGAAAAGAGGGAGTTTTTTTTATGTATTAATAGGGAGAAACACAAAACAGAGCATCGATAAGGGTTTCGTTAAAAAACCTTCTTAATCCTAGTTGGAGGAAAAAAAGTGCTCCGAACCGATGTGGTTCCACTCCCACTTTAGAGGCTAAAAACATGTCATAACCCACAAGCTTCACTATCCCCTCCACCCTCATTTGAGAAATCTAAAGAATAGCACTCAATTAGATGTATACTGAAACACCCTGCAACTATAGGGTTGGCACCACAAACACCTTAAGGGTGCATTTGGTTCACGGAATGTAAGATTATCAGGGAATATGATTACTGAGAATGTTGTATTTTGTGTTTGGTTGATTTAGCAGGAATGTAAGATTACCGTGTTTGGTTAAAGGAATAAAAGATTATTGGAATGTATATTTGACAAAATTATCCTTATTATATATTTATTTTTTTAACAACTTGGAAAATATTTATATATTTTCTTTAAAAAATTTAAATTCATAAAATTTATATATTTTTTTACAAAATTGAAAATATAAAAAGGTTTAATGAAAGGGTAAAATTTTATTTTAACCCCTGAACTTCATATAAAATTTTAATTATAGACTTTTTTTGTAAATCTAAAATATTTTAAGGATAAATTTGTAATTTAACCTTCGTAGAATTTTTATTATTCAATGACAGAAGAATGATATTTTTGAAAGAAAGAAAAATTCAATGGCATTTTAGTCCAAAACGCCGGTAATCCAACAATACCTAAGGAAAGTGAGATAAGGACATTATCAGTAATATACCCCAAAATATCTACTATTGGTAATAAAACATTACCGGAAATGAGATTCTCGACCAACCAAACATGAGAATGTGGATTCCATTCTCATGGGAATCCCACATTCCTTGATCCAAACACCCCCTAAAGTGCATAGGAGACGCAAGATTTAGACAAAGTAGATTAGGGGTGTTGGCACTACACTTCATACTCAATAGGGAGAAACACACATAACAAGGCATCGATAAGGGACTCAATAAAAAACCTTCCTAACCCTAGTTGGTGGAAAAAGAGTGCTCCGAACCGATATCGATACAATACATTATTAGAACATAACACTCAAAACATGTCATAACCCACAAACTTCACTATCCCTTCCAACCTCATTTGAGAAATCTAAATAATAGCACTCAATTAGATGTATACTGAAACACCCTGCAACTATAGGAGTGGCACCACAAATACCCTAAAGTGCATAGGAGACGCAACATTTAGACATATAGATTAGGGGTGTTGGCAGTACACTTCATACTCAACCAAATACACTGAATTACAGTCCCACTCGATGTCAGCCCCATTAACCTAAACAAGAAGAACGCAACAACTTCAGAGGTGCAAAAGGCTTTGATCACAACAAAACGCTACTCAAACACATCAAACCTAGCTAATGAAGAGAAGAGACTTGCATTGATAATAGCTATTAAACCTAGGCGGCAACAGGCTTCTTCGTACTAGACTAGATTTAGGCGATGCAGCACAACGGGGGATGCAACCTAACTCTGCACCTGAAACGCCTGCTTACAGTATCACCGCACATAACACAATTATTCCACTTTAGCATCGGCTGCCATGATGACAACGGCACTACGACGACGTTTGCCCCCATAAGAAATTTACGATACAACTGCTTAACTTACTTGCCAAGACGCTTGGTAATTGAAAAAGTGAGAGGTAATACACCGGTAGATTAGAGAGAACGGACTTAACCAGTGTTATCCTACCCTCCAGGCGAGAGCGGTTTTTCTCTGTAATAGGCTTCCAAATCTCCTTAGTTCCTCGAATTCTTACTAGGAAACACTATAAGGTCATCCGCAAACTGAATATGTGACATTATCGAGTCACTGCAGTCGACACGAACTTCATCAATCAAACCAATAATAACCGCTTTACTGATCAATCTGCTCAACGCTTCACCCACCAGATTAAATAACATAGGAGATAGAGGGCAACCCTGACGGAGGACTCTGCTTATCTTGAAGTTATTTGATGGGACGCCATTCACAAGGACACAAGTGGAGGCTGTGCCAATACATTGATTCATCCACCGTCTCCATCTTTTGCCAAATCCCATTCGACGAAGAATCAGGTCCAAAAAACTCCAATCGACCTAGTCATGATTACGCTTTTTGAAAATCTGCTTTAAGAACCATTGTTTTTCTCTTTCTTCTATGCATATCATCAACCAATTCGTTTGCGATGAGTGCGCAGTCTGCAATTTGTCTCCCTGCGATGAAAGCAGATTGTGAATTACCAACTACTTCGTTAATCACCCTGCCAATCTTCTTTCCAACACACGGGCCAGGATCTTGTACATGCTACATACCAAGGAGATAGGTCTAAAGTCTTTCACGTACTCCGGGGACTTCTTCTTTGGAACCAAAGCGATGAAGGAATGATTTATGGTCGAACAATCTAGTTTCCCTTCAAAGAACGCTCCAAAGATGAAGGTGGCTATGTTAATATTAGAGGCATCGAAGACATTTCCGCAAGTGTCAAGGAGAGTTATAGTTCTGGAGGGTGAGTTACTTCACAGCAAGATGAAGGTGGGTATGATCAATGATCACACTGAACGTGGAGAATTAAAAAAGAACAACACTTGACCTTTGAAAATTATTTTAGAAAAAGCTATAACAAATCTTCAACTCTGCCATCGAAAAAATTTCAAGTCAAGCTGAACAAACTTCAAGTCGTCCTCAAGGAGTTTGAAGAAGAGGTTTGGAGTGCAATTCACTCGGCCGACGGGTCTAGAGATCCAGTTCCGGATGGTTTCGACTTGGATTTTTTAAAAAGAATTTTGCTATATACTTTTTACATAGATCAAAATATTTTTAAAAGGTGTCATTGTTCTTCTTTTATATCATATAAATAATTTATATGATAAATTTTTTTGAGGTGTAGGTACGGGCTCTATCAGTTGTAGTACCTAAACTTACTATCAAATGTGACCTTTAAACTGAATTTTTTTTGGACCTTGCACTATTAAATGATTTATATCATTGATGTAATAATTACGATGTATGATGGCATGGTATAGGACTTAATTGATTTTTTTAGAAAAGTTTGAGAGTTTGATTGATTTTTCAATTTTTTTAAAGTTTATAAGTAAAAAAATGATAAAATTATTTAAATTTAAAATATAAAAGAATATTGAAATATTGAAAAGCTAAACATAAAAATAATAAAACTAAAAAACAAAATATTTAAAATTTAAAATATCATAATATCATAATATATAATATAGAAAATGATAGATAATAAATTACTAAAAAGTGTTAAAATTTTTAGGATAAACTACGAATTTAGAACCTAAACTATTGGTTATGGTTTGTTTTAGTATCTGAACTTTCAATTTTTTTAAAATCATACCCGACGTTTAGTTTTTATTTCATTTTACTACCCCATTATTAAAACTTAACGCGTTAGTACTTAAACTATTAGTTTTGGTCCGTTTTAGTATCTAAACTTTCAATTCTTTTTAAAATTTAACGTTAAATTTTTAACGTGTACTAAAATGAAAAAAAACTTTAAGCAAAGTTTTAAACACTTTACTTGAAAAATTCTTCGATTGTCTTTCGTTAGTTTAAGTCTGCAATTATTTATTCAACATATTTTCAGTGAAAAATATAATAATATTTATATTTTCTTAAACATAAGATCATAAAAATACAAATTCAAAAAATCAGAAGCAAGATGTGTGCTTAAAAAACAAATTTATAACTAATATTTTAAATATCACAAAAAATTATGATTTGATTATAATTTTGCTTTAGATTTTTGATGTTCTTAATTTTAGAAGAATATTAAAGATAAATTTATTATTATGGTTTAGTTTTAAAGGAAGTCAAATGAATTTAGACTTAATAATCAAATCATTATGATAAATTTAATTTTCGTTATAATTAATAAATTATACAAATTATTCAAATTTCAATTCCAAGTAAAAATATAAAAAAGAAAAGTTCTACGTAAATTCCAATTTGGCCTTAAGTATACCCTGACCCTGGACCGGGAGCAACCATTGACCTAAACTTTTAAATGTACCAAAAAAAGAAAAAGAAAAAAAAAGAGAGTCTAAAAATGGAATAAACTTAAATGAATCAATGAAATTAAAATAGCAAAGCGTACATCTATGGGTGACCATTTTACCTACTGAGGCCAACACGTTGAAGCCATCCTTTCTCCTTTTAAACAATGTGATGAGATGAGGTACGACTCCGGTGGAAGCCGAAAACATCTACGAACTATCACGCAAAGCCGGGAAGCTAACTCCGTCCTTCAGATGGCTCGTCGATATCGGACAAAACCATTTCAGTGCTTTGGGACCCAATACCTGATTCACAGGCTGATAAATAAGAGACGATAGGAGAATAAGGAGAAAGAGGGAGGGAGGATTACCAAGGTAATGTTTTTGTAAACACTCAGATCGAACGGATGACGATAGCAGAGCCCGGATTTCTTCGCCAACCATGCGGCTCGTATTCCTTCGTAATACTGGCAAAAGGATAATTTGTAGGTGGTTTAGAAAATTATGGAGGGGTAAAATTCAAGCCGTTGACTGCAAATGGTCGGTCGACGGTGTACCTCTATGGTTGTCATATTGTGAGTTATAAGGTAGATATGCCAGCCTAAGAGAGTCCCGAGTGTTACCGATAACGCAGGCGTCATTATACCACAAGCAAGCTACAACACATTCTGAGAATTTATTAAATATCTTATAAACTTGCATACAAATTAATCGAAGGGCAAGAAGAAAGAACACAAGCTATGTTACCAGGCTCGGGTGAGTGTTGCAAACAAGTATGTCTAGGGCATACTGACTCTTCAAACAAATGTAAAAAGTTTTTAAAAACTGAGCATATCCATGTTGGGCTCATATCCGTATCCGACACTCACTCCCGAGACCAGATAACAGAGATTTTCTTCATACTCAGCCATGAATAATACATGATCATTCTGCTAGTAAACAGCTTACAGCACACATGATTCTCCTCACATACCAACATATTTAGAAACAGGAGACTGTAAATCAAGCATTCGAGCTTAACTTAATGCACTTGATAAACGATATTAACAGAAACTACAATAAATTGCAGATGCACATACTTAACTACAACTTACATAAAAAATTTGAGGGGAGTTCTTCTGTTACTCCAGTCCTTCTGACGTGTACAGCTTATTACAATTACGTATGAATGACATGTTTCATGTTATAACTCGGGGCAACATCGAAAAGTTAAAAGAAAGGAACAAGACAAGGAGCCAGGATACATACTGTCGAGTGGATTCTACCAATGGTGGCGTAAAGTATGAGATCGAAGAAAGCTTTATAGTTCCGATAACCAACATATTTTTTTTGTTTTTTAATCTTTAAAGTAACTTTATAATTCTTCATTTTTTCCGAGGTAGTCAAGAGTGGTTTCGTATATGTTAAGGTTGTTTTACCCTAGCCAGTCTATGGAGCAGTCATGCAGTACAACTTTAAATTTAAGGCTAAAAAATGTTGAAAAAGGGACGCGATCGTAAATATTATAAAACAAAATGTAATATTTTAGCATATATGTAACTTAAAATATTATTTTTTCTTAATATTTTTTGTGCATTCTAAAATATTACATTCTTTATGATATTTTCGGTTGACAATTCTTTTTTCATAAAATTTTTAAACATGTTATAATTTATTTAGTTAAATAAAATATTATTACAAATAGGTCACTTCATCATTAAAATTGAGAAAGACACCAAATATAGCTTAATATAATAATTTTAGTCCTCTAAAGCTTATATGTTATGAAAACACTTTATAAAAATCGGAGTTCTGTAACACATAATTCAAAATCAAAAAAAATATAAACTCTGAGTTTAACAAATTGAATAAATGAATAAGGTTCTATGAATACATATGCCTACTGAAACTACAATACATTACTATAAAAGAGATACTGGAAGTCATGCTGCAACAGTGCTCCACGAACGACCCATGCTAACAAACTGCAAACGGAAACAATCGAACGTTGAGCTTGCAAAGCCTAATAGTATAATCGTTAATCTAGAGCAGTATTATGAGTTCTATAAACACAAGCATGCTAAAGACATGGTATTAAGCAATAGGTACATGCATGATCTCGACCAAGTGCTACTTATATGGGGTTTTACTGTTCTATCTCTAAAGTATGAGTCTCATGCTTCCCTTAATCCTTTGCTAAGGGCCTCGCCATGAGTACACCTCTATTAGGTTTCTACCCACACTGACTGTAACTGCTATGCATTCTCTAAATGTGACTATGACACTCTTGTGCTTTATCTGAATGCAACACTAACTCTGATGTGCATTATCTAAATGCAAACCTGACTTGTATATAGTCTCACTTAGCCATCAGGTAGATCATGGAGGGAGAACCCGGTGTCACATAGCATCAGTGAAATTCCCACTAAGTTGTTAAATGATCTCCTAGTCTCACATAGTGTTAGGATTTTCGGAAGCTCGAATCGACAATCGGAATGGTTTGCAAAGAGGGGTCGGAATGGTTTTAAGTTTAGGGAGTAAGGAGATTGAAAGATAGAAAATTGCACAGCGATTTAGAGTGGTTCGACTTTATCAACCAAAGTCTACATCCACTACCTTAGCTCCTCACCAAGGATTTTCCAACAAATTCACTAATTTGTTCTTTCTTTTGAGGACAAAGAGATAACCTTACAACTCCCTAGTTTTTTCGGGCAAAACTAGAACCTTTCCCCTTTACAAAAGGATAAGAAATGTAAACAAGAAAACCTCTCTAAGGTAGGTGTTTACAAGAATTAAGCTCACAAGAACAAAATATTTACAAGAGAAAGATGAAATAAGAATGAAAAACTCTTCTCTTGTGTTTGATTGCTTGGATGGTTGTTCTCTTACTTCTTCAAGTGTCTTTAGCTTGTTTTTATAGCTTGGAATGTGTTCGATGTCGTATATAACCGTTGGGGATGTTTTGGAGTCGTTTGGGGATGATTTTTCTACTCAAAAAGGCTGCCCATAACATGATGCATCGATGCATGATCAAGGTGCATCGATACCCCTTCATTAAATTCAAATAAACTAGCCGTTACTAGCCGTTGCAGCCTTGATGCATGGATGCATGGCAGTATGCATCGATGCATGTCAAGGATGCATCGATGCATAGCAAGATGCATCGATGCACTAATTGCATTCGATGTTTGGATGCATGGATACATTGCATGATGCATCGATGCATTAGTGAAGATGCATGGATGCATTGCAGGGATGCATGGATGCACTGCAGGGATGCATGGATGCACTTTGACACCCTTTAGCATTTTTGCTCAAATCCGATTTTAATGGACTTTGAATTATTTTTTAAACCTTTTAAAACTTTGAATAAATTCAATTAAGTCCAAAAACATTTTGTAAATTCAATTCAAGTCCAAAAACCATTTTGCCTTAAATTGTTATATCAAAACATAGTTCAACAATCTCCCCCTTTTTGATATAACAAAACATTTGAAAAATTGTTTTTGGCAAAACTCCCCCTTAATAAATTGTTTAATGAAAAAGATATCAATTGTTACCAATTGTTGGAAAATATATGAAAATGTTAAGCTCCCCCTTTTTCATTAAGAAATTGAATTTTTCAAACCACAAACTTCTCCCCCTTTTTGTTATATAAAAAATAATTCAATCTTTGAAGTTCAAAATAACTTTGGAGAGTAAGTAGTAAATTTGACATTTAAAAATCATTTGAAAAATCAAAGCTCCCCCTCAATAAATGCATTCCAAACAAAATTTAGCTTTTAAGTTCTTGACACTTAAACAAAATATTGAATTTCTACAAAGAATAACAAACATGTTAGAGGCACATGAAATTCAATATATCCAAGTCTTAAATACTTAATGCAATACCAATTGTTGAAATTTGATGTTAATACCAATTGTTAAAATTAAGTGCATTTGCATAAAGTTTTCCAAAATGTTATGCATTTTGAAAAATTTGATATCAATTGCTAGAGAGATATCATTTTCATTTAGACCACAAGCATAAACATTCAAATTTAGGCCAAAAATTAAAATTTATAAAATCAAAGCCTTTAAAATTTGATATCAATTGTTAGAGAGATATCATTTGCATTAAAACCAATTTTGACCAAAATTCATTATGATGAACTAAAAATTATGAAAAATCATTAAAACTTTAAAATGTTCATCATAAAACCTTTTTAACATACATGAGATTAAACAAAACATAATCATTCAATATAAAAACTCATGCATGCTTAAAATCAAATGAGCAACCATATAACCAAAATTAAAAGCATTAAGCTTAGAGGTTACCCATTCCTTTTTCAAGTGTGGCTAGAGCATCTTGAATATCATCATTTTTATCACCATTGCTCCAACACACCTACAAGAGACATTTATTTCGATTTTGGTATCCAAATTGCTTTGGATCCTTGAACGTTAGTTTCAATGCCCCTTGTTCCTTTCGGAACCCATACTTGTCTAATTTTAAAACATTTTCCTTTCCTCAAAGGACAAGTATGTTCCAAATGACCATGAAAATGGCAATGTGAGCATTTTGCCATATTTAAACATAATAGGTTGTTTTTAGAAATTAATTCTTTTTCTTTTGTTAAGCCTTCAAGCTTAACTTCTAACTCAAAATTTTTCTTTTCTAAATCATTTATTTTGATTTTTGAAAGTTCTAAATCATTTTTCAAAATTTCATTTTGATTTTCAAAATCAACTTTTGCTTTCAAAATCAAATTATCTTTAATTTTGAGTTTTGAAATTAATTTCGTATATTTGGAATTCATGGTCTCAAATCCCAAATACAACCTATTATAAGCATCTTGTAACTCATCAAAAGTAAATGAATTAAATTCATTTGAGTTAGAAGATACCTCAACTTCTTCATGAGTGGCCATGAGGCATAGGTTGACTACTTCATCTTCATCATTGGAATCATCTTCATCACTCCAAGATTCAACAAATGCCTTCTTCCCCTTTTTCTTTAGAAGATGACATTCATATTTGACATGCCCTTTTCTTTGACAATTGAAGCACACCGGAGGACTCTTCTTCTTGGTTGATTCATATTTCACTTCCTTGGAAATCATGAATCTCTTGAGTTCCTTCAAGAGCTTGACCATCTCTTCTTCTTGTTCATCATCTTCTTCATCCACCTCATCACTTGATTCTTGATAGTTTTCATTGGTGGATTTGAAGGTAATGCCTACCTCTTTCTTATCTTCCCTTTCTTCATCTTCCTTTACCATCATCTCATGATTGAGAAGGGAACCAATTAGCTCTTCAAGGGTGAGAGACTCTAGGTTTTTAGCTTCGATAATAGCCGTCTTCTTTGATTGCCACTCCTTTGGAAGAGAGTAGATCACCTTCCTCACAAGCTTCTCATTAGGGATTACTTCTCCATATCCCTTGAGATCGTTGACAATCACGGAAAATCTATCCGTCATAGCTTTGATGTCTTCATTGGGTTTCATCTTGAAGTTCTCGTAGCTATGGTTGAGAAGACTTTTCTTTGATTCCCTCACTTCGTTGGTTCCTTCATGAGTGACTTGGAGCTTATCCCAAATTTCTTTGGCACTGGAACAAGATGATATTCTTCTATATTCATTTGGCCCTAAAGCACATAATAGAATATGTATAGCCTTAGAATTAAGCTGGAAATTTTTCTGCTCTT